ATAATAATAATAATAATAATAATAATAATAATAATAATAATAATAATAATAATAATAATAATAATAATAATAATAATAGTAAAGTTGGAAGGGACCTTGAAGGTCATCTAGTCCAACCCCCTGCTCAGGCAGGAAACCCTATTCCATTTCGGACAAATGGCTGTCCAGTCTCTTCTTAAAAACTTCCAGTGTTGGTGCATTCACCACTTCTGGAGGCAGGTTGTTCCACTGGTTAATTGTTCTCACTGTCAGGAAGTTTCTCCTTAGTTCTAGGTTGCTTCTCTCCTTGAGAATAGGTGCCTTAAGGTAGGTGCTCAAAAAATTGTCTCTCTGAGGATGAGAATGACAATTTTCCTCTGGTTTGACTGTAAACCATGGCAATTTTGTCCAAGAATGTCATTGCTAGATATGATGCCAAGCATTATATTAAAAATCCATCATCCCAACTTTCTGAAATTTATATCAATATTTTATTGGTAATTACAATAAATATTGAGACCGTTAGCAGCAAGGGAGGGAAATAACCCTATAAACCTCAGAATCTAATCAAATGCGCTGACTGCGAATGACGATAATCTGCGCTTCTGACACTTGAGCAAACTAGAAGACCAATGTATAATTTAAAATGGATATACTGTAAATGATTTTGAAAGTATGCTTGTTTTCTCTTACTATCTAAAAACTCTGTACATCAAGGTTCAGGAGCAAGAGCTTCCAATTCAAAAGATACTAAAACTATAGGAAGCTTGAGAATTCATTTTTTTAAAATTCTGCAAATGTTATAAGCCTCTGCACTTATTTAATTATTTCACATCCAACCTATCTATCCCTTAAAAATCTGACAAAAATTAAAATAAGCAAATGCTATTTTTTTAAGCATGGAATTTTGCAAACTCTGCTTTTATTTATTAGTTAGCATTCATCTCCTGAAATTCATCTTACGATATTTATACCAATACAGTGACATCTCCTGTCATTGTAAGGCCTCAGCAGCATTTTCCATTTGGGGATTGGTGCAGATATGCATGTGAGAAACTAGAATGGTATTACAATCCCCATCTTCTCATGTACTGTGATCTCAATGCATTTGCCTTCATTTCATCCACTTTTTTTTATATAAACAAACCTGAGTTAACAGAAATCAGATGCAAATACATTCAGTGCTTTCCCTCTTGTTTTCAAATTGTACTTTTAGTCCATTCAACCTGTTATAATCTCGCAGTGATTTTCATTTAAAACAGCTAAATGGATATGTGATTACTGTAATAGGGAACTAACACAAAACAATTAAATACTGAGGTGTTAAAAGATGAGGTTGAACTGGATTTGCATGTGCAAAAAAAGGGAAAAAGAAAGAAAAAAAAAGAGAGAAAGAAAAGAAAGAGAAAAATTGGAAACCTTAAGCCTGGGAAGAAATCAGCTGTAAGACAAATGCATTTAACTTTGCTAATTACTGCAAGTGACTCTATTAAGATTTTACTACTTTGTGCCAGGACTATAGACATTTATTTAAGGCTTTCACTTGTTATTTGAGAATAGCTGATTTCATGCATGAAAAAAACCCCAGCATAAAGTGGCTTCTATTAATAATTAGCTTCTCAAGTGCAGCATTTTACACCCATCAGTTATATGCTTGAAATAAAGACATTTATGATTGAATCCCAAATGTCTTCATAGTTTCACTTCTACTTCTACAAACTATAAGAATTATATGACCTTCAATTTAGCCATGACTGAACATGCACAGAAGGCCTTTGCACAGCTCCATTTCATGTGCCAGCTGTGTCCCTTCCTGGAATGGACAGTCCTCCAAACTTACCCACATCACTTCATACCTTAACTATTGCATTACATAGGGTTGTCTTTGAAAATCACTCAGAAACTTTAATTGGTCCAGAACGTAACAGAGTGGGCAGTGGTAGGCTTGTTTTGGTAGGCCATTTAATCCCACTGCCTTGCAAACCACACTGGTTGCCAGTATGCTTTTTGGTACAAGTGAAGGTGCTGATTATCACCTATGGAATCCTACCCAACATAGGGCCTGGATAGTTGAGGGACCACCTATCTTGTTGTATAGGCAGTCTTCAATTTACAACAGTTCATTTAGTGATCGTTCAAAGTTACAATGGCATTGAAAAAAGTGACTTACAACCATTTTTCACACTTACAACTGTTGCAGTATCCACAGGATCACGTGATGTTTTAAGTGTGCGAACGGTTAACTAAGTATAAATCCTACCGACGTCACAGGATGTCAATACACTAGGGGAAAACGCTGGAAGACTGTTCGGTTCAGTTACCCCTTCGCTTCTGAGTGAATTGTTGGCACAACTGATTCAATTGTTGACGTCACTAAGTGAATTGTTTACACCGGTCTTTCCAGTATATTCCCCCTTTTCTCACTTAACAAATGTCTCACTTAGCAACACAAATTTTGGGCACACAATTGTGGTCTAAAGTCACGGACTATCTGAATTTTATCCTATTTTCTTTGTATTGTATGTCACCCAGAGTTAGTTTGGACTCAGCCAACACCAAAACAAACATGACAATAATGAGACTTTTACTACCACCAACATTCTTGTGTGCCAGTAAACATAAAAAAGGTTTTTGGAGTATACTTAGAAACATATTTTAAGAATAAAGTATACAAATATTTCTTAGAAAAACAACTTAGGCAAACTGGAACAGTTGCTTATTTTTTTTTTTTAAAAAAAGGTAATGCTGGGCATCACTCAATGAAATTTGAAAAGCAATATATATGATGCTTTGAATTCTACATTGGTAAGTAGCAGAGAGATCTGTTGCCACATTTTATTCTTATTCCATCTCTAATTATTGGATTTCTTATAAATATATACCTTATTGTGTGAGAGCCGTTCTCCATTTGTTATTTACAACATTACTGAAATAGTTTGACGATCTGATTTGACTCCTGCTTTATTTTCATTGTACCAAGTCTAAACTCTGGCAATGCACAATCAAATCCGGCAATCAGCTTTCCAAGTCATGCCTCCACTTTATATCTTGGTTACTGCATTATCATATACCACAACCAGATCTTTTTCTTTATCCAATTCCTTTTCTTTGGGAATTCAGATCAACCAAAGGTAAGTCATATGGTCACACCTGTGATATTGTATAACATCGTACCAATATACAGTAGATCCTGAACCAGTATCTGCATGATTGAACCAATATGGATCACTAGTCAAGTGACACAGATTTCTTTGACTGCTCTTTCAGGAATGCATCTCCAATCATTAAGCAAGAGCCCACATACTGAAAACTGTAATTAGCTAGTAAGCAAAAGTGAAATGAGCATTCAGACAGTGAACACCCCAATAGGAATTGTTATAGTAGCTGGCCAAAGATGCAACAGTTTTATTGGCTGTCTGCTATGAAGGCAGCAACAATGTCAGATGAGGGCAATAGTTGACTTGGAGTCTGGATGTCTTTTAAGATAGAGTCTTAGAGTGAACACTTTTTAATATTCAACTTTTTTTTAGAGATGTAATTGATAGATGTCCTTTGTTACACCGTTTTTATTTTTACTGATACTGTATCATTTCACAATTGTGAAATCGCTTTGGAAGTCAGTATATCTGAAAAAGAGTACAGATGTGCTTTATACACATTTATATAAGCCTGTTTCTTCAGAATTCCTTAACACATATCTTTCTCATGCTGGGGGATGAAGGGGTTCCACACCAGCATTTAAATAATTATTTATGTTATTCATTTATAACCATTCCCATGACTCAAAGGGCAGTGAGCCACTGGCCCATCCTTTCCCCTTGGTAAGAGCTTTCCTTTTCTAGCTAGGTTCAATTATACAGTACTACTATAGCCCAGCAGGACAAGTGAGAAAGAAAGGAAGATTTTACAAGGTGGTGTGTAAGATAAGAGTAGGAAGGATGAATGTTCTGTCTTCATACATTTGGTCCAAAATTCCAAATGTGATCATGGATTCTCTGTAGTGGAAGGCCTGGATCTGCTCCTTCATATGTTTCAAGAGAAGTCATCTGGTTTTCTGAACAAATAATATCTGACATGCTTTTAGATTTTGAAAAAGCTGTAACCTGTACTTGAAAAGAATAATTTCAGAAACAAATTGATTATAGGACTTACCCTGAGCTTTCTTCCAAACACAGTAACTTTTCCTTTAATTTGTTCTTTTCTGAGGCGCCACTCTATTGAATTTAAGCCGTTTTCCATTGGCAGTGAAATATTACATCGTCCTATTGCTGGGGTCACAGTCCCAGCTAGGACATGTGGCTCACTGTGGAAACTAATACCCATTCCATTTGCATACATCACTCGCAGGGTACCATTACTGCAGAGCTGATAGCTGTTTCTCACTTGATCTGGATCAATCATTGGGAAGAAAAGAAATATTCTGTAAATCGTACAAATAAATGTTTTACCTAACTAGCAAGGTTTTCATGATCTTTCTATAGCTGTCAAATGACATATTCCTACAATTACTATTGGTGTTTAGGTAAGGCAGTTATTTGCAACGTTATTGATTTATGTAGCGAGAAATACGATGAAATATTTTAAGCCTGAAGGCATATCAGGTTATTAGAATTATATTTTCTGTTTGCTCCTTGATGGTAAATCACATATCAATTGATTATTATAATTATTATTTTGCAAAATTGTGAATACATATATAATTTGAGAAAAAGTTGGTGGCAAGTGATTTAATTGAAGTGTTGGGTCAGCAAGATATCTATTCAACCCAAAATATCAAAAGAAGTAGCTACAGCTTTTTTTTAGAGAAAAGACAGTTTTGTCTCTGTTCTTTCTATACTGCCTTCAGTGCTCCCTTAACAGATATATAGCTGAGTTATAGATTAGGTTTCAGTACTTAAGGCATGATGCTCACACAGAATGAGCTGCCAAAGTCAATCTTTTGTATGAGTGTCACTTTTCATTCTGCCTTAAAGAAACATTACTAGCCAGCCTGACATCTGGCTTTTTATTGACTGGCAGAAGTTGCAAAAATAAAACTTGATATTTATGATTGTTATATTCTTGACTGGCTGATCTAGTTTTCAGAATGGTAAAAAGGAAACTCTCCCGCAAGATAGTAGACAGCAGAGTGAGCAGCTGCCAGCAAAGAACCACTATCATTTTGTAATAAAAATATATATCTATCTAATTAATCATCTGCTAGAGAGAAATAAAAAAATCATAACCCTGGAAAATAGTCCCTGGTTTGTGAAGAGGTTATTGTCCCATGACAATATTTATTTTTAGTGGCACTATTTTAAATTTTAAAACAATCATCCACAAAATTCTTTTCATTCTAGTTTAGTTAACAGTGTCACACTGCATAGGCAGCATTGGATAATTTCTTTAAGGTTTCCATTATCTTCTTTGGGGAGCTTTGCCAGTGATTAAATTTAAATTTGTCTTCTTAAGTTGAGAAATTTAATTACCTCCAAACAGAACGACTAAGATGGTTCTCTTGGCAAATGTCTCTTGAGCAAACATATTGCCAGAAAATGGGCTCTTTAATGTGCCTAAGCAAGAGTTAATACAGAGAAGAAACAAGAATACAAGTGATTGTTTTGTCGTTATCTATGTCACATGGTTTCTACGTCTATGTCATGGGATTTTTTAAGAATAGAGATTCCAGAAAACAGAATACCCTCCACAACTACAATAAAAAAAGCAATGGAAAATAAGAACGAGAAAATAAGGACGAGAAGCAACGGGTGGAAACTGATCAAGGAGAGAAGCAACTTAGAACTAAGGAGAAACTTCCTGACAGTTAGAACAATTAACCAGTGGAACAACCTGCCTCCAGAAGTGGTGAATGCTCCAACACTGGAGGTTTTTAAGAAGAGACTGGACAGCCATTTGTCCGAAATGGTATAGGGTTCCTGCCTGGGCAGGGGGTTGGACTCGATGACCTCCAAGGTCCCTTCCAACTTTATTATTATTATTATTATTATTATTATTATTATTATTATTATTATTATTATTATTATTATTATTATTATTATTATTATTATTATTATTATTATTAAAAGACACCTTTAGAAAGAGTTGTCTGACCACAAACAACTCTAGTGTTCTTTTATTTAGATATCCTTTCTCAGATCTTTGTAAAAGCACATATATGAAAAATTGCCAGGCTCTTGAAGTATAGTTTTACTGAAGGCAGCATCAAACTTTGCATGCAGATTTTGTGGATAGAAGACTTTACTAACAGTAGCAAATTGGATGAAATCAGCTCCCTATAATTACAGATTTCTCTAAAGAAAGCAAATAAGCAAATAGGATCCTTTGCTGCAAATTATAATAGCGCCAACTATTTATCCTTCTTAATTTGTTAACTTCATATAATGAATTTAAATTCTCATCATTTTGGCTCAACAGGGCTAATAAGATTTTGTTTTTATATAAAAAAAAACCCCACAACCTTTCATTCTGCCTCATCTTGGCAGCATGTGCTCAGATTACATGGTTTTCAGTCCTTCTATTGTAACTGAATTAATCATAATTAAAAGACTGCCTTAAATGATAAATAATGCAAATACATGCAGCTTTGGGTGCAATTGGTTTTGTATTCATACATCTTCAGGACTGTTGAGCAACTATCACAGGAAATAACAATTTTCTAACAATTTTAAGGAAACAGTTCAAAACAAATCAATAAGGGAATTACGAAGATTGTAACTGAAGATGCAAACAGGTAAGTAAATTTGCAAAGGGATAATAGAACCTTTAAATATGTACATAACAAATGTAGTTCAGGATTCAGTATACTGAGGTTATGGAGTGAGGAGCATAGGATTTCCTTGTTGAAAATCTTCTGGTTATGAAGAATTGCTTAAATTTTTTCACAAAGCCACATAAATCTTCCAAGGAGTGATATTTAGTATTCATGCTCTGGGATGGAGAACTGTGCTCAGTTTACATAATAAATATCTGATGTTTTTGGTGTGCATAGTAGATGGATCTGATTTAGCAAGAATTTGTACAATAACAATGGGATGAGACAGATAAGGAAATATATATGTGAGAAAACTATTCTTTGAAAATGTGAGTTGTTGCTTAAAGAAGAGGGAATCCCATTCTTTTTTATTGCAGAAAATGTGCTTTGTTTTCCTGAGTTTGTATACATACATATGTTGATAAAAGAAAGGATTCTAGAAAGTAAAAAATGGAATAATACAATAATGTGTAAAAGCCCAATTATGAACCACTTCTTTAGAGGGGTTTTGTCCTTGTGACTGTTGCTAAGATGATCTATCGATTTATGATTTCTTTTTTTTAGGTTCAGGATACTGTGTATGTTCTAACAAACTTTTCATATTGTGAAAGCTGCAACAAGTCCGTATTTATGATGGGCTATAAATGTGTAAATAACTAAGCAATTACCTTTCTACAAAATCATAATAGTTGTCTTGAAATTTTCACTAGTAAAAATAAAGTCACCAAAATAGTTTCTACTACAATAAAATCATTTATTTTACAGGCATGCACATTGGCTGACATAACAGGTAGTTTCCTAATGATTTAATATCTACTAAATAAATTGATTGAAAAGTGTTTCAGGAACCTCACTCAATCACCTGTACAACTGACTTTCTTTATATCCGAAATAGATTGTATTGTTTCTCTGGGACACACACACATGTGTGTATGTGGGTATATGCATAATTTATTTTATTTATTTATTTTTTGTCATGTTTATGCAGTATATATTGGAGGTGGTTACTCCTTGAGAGCTGTATGCAACAAAATCTCATTTAAATGTATGCTGATTAGTGTACATTTAAAATGACAATAAAGTTATTATTCTATTCTATTTAAGTCAGAACTAGACAAGGTGCACAGCATACACAATCAAGAATTTCACCTGTAAATTGAGCACACTGAGTGGACAATTGATATGATTTGTTTGTATTGATGCAGAGACACAAAGCTTGAAAAAGGTGAAATATTTTTATTAACCAATGAAAAATGTCAATGGATATCTTCAACTGACTTCAGATGTTTCCCCATATGGAAAAATTGTGATGATTGGTTTAGAAAAAGTATATATAACTCTAGGTAGTGATATAGTTCAATTGTAAAAAAAGGCATTATTTCAAAGATAATGCAAGAAATTCTATTCTGGAAGTAACAAGTTTCTATTTTGTATCATGTTACAAGTAGAACTTGAATAGAAATAGGACATGGGGAAAACAAGATGGTGCCTACAGACCAGGCAAGCAATCCCTGAGATCATGAATCTTTTGATAGCTGTTAAAATCAGGCTGGCGACTTTATGTTTTTCTAGAATCACAGACAGAAATGTAACCTGAAGAAACACTGACATGGGACAAGAAGCTTATTTGATTATAAAATACTAGAGATTTCTGCATTTGGAAGGTTAAAGGTCAAATATTGTCACAGATCTCTAATTATGAGAAAGAAAGCAATGCATAATGTGTGGCAATTGTATTAGAGCATACTTTTCCCATGCAATGCTTTTTCAAATTTTGGCAACTTGTGCAAGCTTCCTTCAAAAGAACTTTAATGTATAGTAATTTTGATTTCATTTTAAGACCCCTAATTCTTCTATCCTAAATAATTTTTTGTTTGGGTACATAAAACGATAGGATTTTTAGAAGAAGAAAAAGACCATTTCTATCAAAAGATGTTTTGACTGATGATCAAATGATGATGTTATTGTTTATTCTCATGCCAAGAATATTCAGAAATCTGTAATGAATTTCAGACACATTATGTACATTTAGTCTCCAGAGAATTTTAAGTTAAATGCTGAAAAGGCATTTGTTGTTGAAAGGAAGATAATCTATATGAGATTTGTTTTAGACAGGAAAGCAGTCAAGCGAAGCCAAGCATACAGGTGCAACACAAAAAGAGTCTATCATTTGTCATATAGTAGTAATATGTTGATTTGTCAAACAAGAGATGTCAGCCAGGGCCCGCATGGACATTTGGAATTTCACAAAGTAATTTAGCAATGGAAATGAACAGAATATATTTCCCATTTAATTATACCGATCAACACTGTGTCACCCAGTTCTTTTAGGATATCATCAGGATATTGATAAATTGTAATGAAAAAGTGGACTATTTCCTCAACGATCGATCTTAGCTGGAATAATTTTTTCAGCAGAGCTAACAAATAATAGGCAAGTAAATTATTAAGATTAAAGGTGAATAGAGGATGAAACTGCAATCTCCCCTTCAAAGAAATAAGACAATTGAGATACTGGAAATGTAGCAATGTATTTCAAATATTACGGAATATTATTTAGATGGAGATGCTAATAAGCACATGGATAATTGGCTTGAGTAACTCATATTGGTCTTAGTGATTGAAATGGAGTAAATGTGAATCATGTAATCAACAATAAAATTGGGCGTTGGCCTTATGTGGAAATACAGTAGATGCTTCAGCTGGAATGGACAGTGAAGGTTACATTTCTAGGACACACTTCATCCCTTCCTCCTCTTTCAATTGGTGAAACTAGAACCTGACAATATGAAAAATAAAATTGGTTCTGTTGGTTTTGTAATCCTTTAATTACTGCCATGATTCTTAAGTTATTTGAAGTATTTGAAATTGCCTAAAAATAAAACAATTAAAATGGTTTCCTCATGGAAGCTAGAGGTTAATTCCACTACTGTTACTGCTGCAATTAAATATCATGGATCGTGTTGTAAGCTATTTCTCTGCTATTAAGATCAGAGGCCTTCAAAGATCACTTCATGAGAAAGGGCCCCAAATGAACAACAATTCCTATGAATTTGATTTATGAATTTCTGACAATGAGCATAGGAGAATACCTTGGACATGGACAAAGTAACTATAAAAAATATGTGCCTTCATTCTACAGCTGCAAAACTTGCTGCATATTAAACATATATAGAAAAAGAAAAAAAAATGGTTGCATTTATAGCCCCTGGAAAAAGTCCATGAGACTGACAGTTCTTCCTAGGAAAGAAATGATGTGAAATAGAACCATATTTTTGTTTACTTGCTTGCTTTGCTTGTATTTGGCTTTAGCTGGCAAAGGAGGACAACTACATTTATACTGAAACAGAATACATATTGCCATGCTCTCCTGAAAAAGATGGCAGGAATGAAGGGAAATCTTCTGAACCAAGAAATAATGATGATCTTTGAATTAATATTAAATAAAAGTTGGAAATATCAAGTTTTTAAGCAGACTAAGGGGTACTTAAACATTTTCCCACTGGCTGTTGGGCAAATTCAGTATATTTCTCTTCTGCTGTTGGTTATATTTCTCTTATTGTTACTCATACAAATTGTGTAAAATCTTTGGGAAGTGTATCCCTGTACCTTGAACAACTGTGTAGGATGCCTCCACAGAGGAGAGATTGGTAATTACTGTGACATCATCATCACGGTTGGAGTTTTCAATATCTATAGTAATAGACTTTTCCATTTCACGATGAAGGCTGGTTACTACACCAGTAGGGCGAGTTACATTGGTAAGGCGTCCTTCATGGTCATAACTAAAAAAAAAAGAAGAAGAAGAAGAGAAGTCTCATATAAATGGCTGAATCTGAGCTAAATCATACATGCACTACCTGGACTTTAAAAAAAATATTAAACAGATTATGAAACAAATCTATTAATCAAAGACAAATAATTGGAATAAAATATTTAGTATCAAAAAATTACACAATTTTAAGAATACACTGTTAAGTTCACAAACCAAAGAAAATTGGATGTATGATCAAAAAGATGATTTACTGGAGCTAGTATACCTTTGGGAATTTCTTTTTTTTCCAAATAATCATCCCTGGAAAATTATTATTGAACCCTTCTGATATATTTACAGAATGTAATCACATCTCCCATTCTTCTATTATTTCTTCTTTTTACATCTCAAAATAAATATAGCAATCTTCCCCATACCAGACATTCATTCCTTTCTTCTTTTAAACATAGGCCTTCAATATTTCATACAGTATATCCATCTTGCAAATAGGTTCAATTATTTCACAGGCAGGCAGAACCAAAACCATGCTGACAAAACATATAATCCAAAGATGCCTTTAGAATGCCCCCTCCTTTTTTTGCTGTCAATACCCTATAAATGGTGGAAGGGGAACACTCGTCTGCCTAAGGGACTAAGTCACTGATTCATCCTTTGGCTCCAAAGGCCCTATAAAGGATACAATATTAGACCGCTAAATAATAACCAAAGGCTGCAATTCTATAGTCCCTGGTCTTTTTCCTCATTAGGATTTAGTGTTATATAGGAAATGTATGGAACCAATAAAATGACTTGAGATATAAGCTCACATTACAATTATTTGAAATGCAGAGGTAAATAATGGGGTGACTAAAACTGGTACCCCAAAATTCCAGGTGACCACTAGATAGTAAAAGGCAATGCAGAAAAACACAACTCTGCTAACATCTGTTGGTCATTGACATTTTTGTATTTCAGATCAAGTAGTTCTACTATATTTGCTATTTTTGCGAGAGAATGGCCTTAAATACTAGCAATTCCTCTCTTGTCAGGAGAAATAAATAATTTTGATATTTCTTTTTTAATTTAGCAATTTTGGGGGTAGTATGTATGTATGTACAGTATGTATGTATGTACAGTATGTATGTATGTATGTATGTATGTATGTATGTATGTATGTATGTATAAAGCTTTGAAAAGAAGGAAGAAAAAGAGGGGAAATAGTGAAATATTAATGAGGTACTAATAATAGATAGTAGCAAATTATACGATTGTGTAAGCTCCTTGAGATATGGGGGTAGAGAATTGTCCAGGCAGAAAAGGAAACAACAGACTGAATATCATATGGGAAGTGCAAATAACCTGGGGAAAAAATTCTTGCCATGAGCTGGGAAAAATGTTCCCTGACTAGTCTGCAGCAGAAGCTGGACAATATGACTTAATTATCCAATGGATTGAGGCAGGAGGCAGCTGTAAAGCTTTTATTGTGCACAGTAAGTATGATGGAGCAGGGATCTGATGAGTGCATGGGAGGAATCAGCAGCCACGAGACATGAGAGAGCTATTAAAATGCCACGATTAAGGTATATTACTAAAGGAGGGAATCATATGGGATAGTCACAGTCAATATATTATGTTTATTTCTAAAATATGTGACGATTATTGCTTTGGGTGTTTCTAATGCGTATTATGCTTGTCTATGTTTTATTCAGAGACTTGCGATGTTTAGTAAAGATTCATGAGTTATGTTTACACTAGTGGGATCAGCCAATAGTCATTTCAGAATGAAAAATTGCATAGGACTTGGCAGAATTTCTGCAATAGGACTATATGGTTTGCTTCTGTTCCAAAGCGAAAAGGAAGGCTCTACACCATTCTTTCCCTGCATAATTTTGCTCAAGTACATTGACTTTTTTCAACATTTTTTTTAAAAAATCTGACTCTATCCATTCTTCTCATTGGCACCTTATTCTGCAGGTTAACGATTTGTGTGTCTTTTAAAAGTAACGTACACACATACACACCATTGACCAGTATTCTGCATGAATCTGCTACCTAACTATTATTTTAATTGTAAATCTTGGCTGGTCATTAAAAAAAAAATCACTTTATTTACCTTTATTGAGGTTTTATTGTTGGGCGCTGCCCAGAGTCACTTTTGGTGAAATGGGTGGTTAGATAAATTTTATAATAAATAAATAAATAAAATTAAATAATCTGACAGCTGAGGAACTGAGCATCTGTATGCCTAAACTAGTGAAGCTAAAAAAAAAAAAATCCAAGCAAAAGCTAAACAAAGAAAACCATAATCTATGCATTCTTCTTTCTTCTCCTTTGCTGTTCAACAACAGTACTTTGTGCTATATTGGATGAAGAATGTCACAGATACATCATAAGCCAGTCTTGCAACCCAGGATTAATGGGAAGTTATCCATGTCACACATTTACTACTCTTGAAAGATATATTGCAACTTTATTAGTTAAGAGCCACGGAAGCTCTGCTCCTATTTACTATCATTTTACAAACTGACCTGCAGATGGCACTGCTCAACTGCTCCAGTGACAAATTTCATCAAAGTAACAAAAATGAGAAGAGCCTTGGAAAATACTATTTTTCAGTCATACCAGACATATGATTATTTATGCTCTCAAATTACATTTGTTTGGTGTGAGAGTCATACATTAAAAAAAAAGAACCAAGCAGCCATTAATAGTCAACATGAAAGAAACACTTCTTTTAGTTCATCCAACAGCATGACTTGGGCTGAGGGTGGGGAAAAAAATACATTCACAGAACATATTTGCAACAGCCATTTCTTCTGAAAAGTGTAATTCTCATATCCTAAGTCTGCCTACTTGAACCCACTTCTTGTACCAAGCAGTGCAAACATCATAGCAACTTTTCCGGTCCATAAGCGAGAGGGGCATCTGTCATCCTTAGCTGTGCTAATATTAAAACAATGTTTCCTTCTTTAATCTAATAGCATTGCATTCAAGAGCAGCCACAAGGTTTACATAATCTCTTGCATTTTGCTTCATAAGATTTGGTTGAAAAATCAGGTGTCAAGTAATGGGTGGGATCTGTGCTTATTGGCTGATGCCTCTGGCCCCTCATTCGGCTGTCATTCGGCTGCCATTCGGCTTCTGTCTAACTAAAGAGCTGGAGGTAACAGCATTGTGCCAGTTGTCAAATCAAGCCTTTATTTCAGTCATTGACCAGCATAATTGCAGATCAGGTATGGGTAGATATCTCAGCAATGGAGAAAGGTCCTTAGATGCATGTTCCTCAGGTAATTGTTATGTAAACAGATTGTTTTAGTCTCATGTAAAACAATTATAATTAAGATCGGAATTGTCAAACTAAGTCTATACAGTTCTCTCACTTCTCTTTGTTTTCTGCCTCTCATATGGCAGAAAACACTGCATTTCGGTGTTTAAATCATCACTTTTTGAAAGAAACTGGTCAAAGGTAAAAAAAAAAGTTGGTTTATTAAAAAAATCTTGGCTTATTTAAATTAGATAGGTTTTGGTTTTGTTCAAATGTAATTATAAGCTGATCTAATGATAAACTAAGGATCTGAAGCTTCTAATCTTATTGTGGCTGTACCCAAGGAGAAGAGGGAAGAAGAAACTGATGACCTCCACCCCCCAATTCAGTATTTTAGCATTAGATTCAGACTGGAACATTGTGAAGAACAAGTGTACAAAGGCTCACGTGAAACAGCAAGCTCCTTGTGAGAAGATCTGATTTTCCATCACAATGGATAATTTCCTAACCTGCAAATGTACTATAGTTCATCTATAGCAAATCTGTTCTTAAAAGAATATTCCACTTTGGACAGTGGGTCTGAACTTTTAGCAATAGAGTTAAATAGGTAACGTAGCCTGATTCTTAGCATATAATGTTTGCACGCTTTCTTACAAGTAGTTATTTTATTTTTGAGGGCAAGCTCTATGTGAGGGATAAAAAACTAGCATAGATATTTATGTTAATATTTTATCCATTTCCATCTGTGAAATGATCTTTTTGCAAATTAATGTTTTTCATCATCAATATTTGCGGAATGCCAATTAAAAATGCCTGCTTTCCTTGCATAGGTTATTTTTTTTTAAAAAAAATACACACTTCATCTTTAATCTGTTGCAATTATATAGAAAAGCATTTTCATTCTCATTTAATTCCTGAAGTAAGTGCAATTTTTGGACACTCTAGAAATAGTACGTCAGATAGATTTTTTAAAAATATATATTTTAAGGTGTGATTTCCTCACTATTTGCAAAAACAAGCAATCGGTAAATTTTATTAATACTTTATCTGCTTATATAGAACATCATCCCACAATCCTGACATTTGAAGGGCAACCTGAATTCCAAAAGTAACTGTAATATTGATATCCCTGTGGGGAGGAAGATTACTGGGGTGTAGCCACAGTCTATTAGGCAGTATAAATAGGGCAAATAAATATACTCTGTCCTGACAGACAAGGTTAACAAAGTTTTGTCCTACTAGTGCTGGACACCAATAAATACTTTATACATTTCAGTGCTCAAATTTACACCCACTTTTACCAAGCTCCATTTTCAGAATTACTTCAAAGATGTTTTTCTCTGGGTTGCATAGTAAAGACTATGTGGCATCTTTTTAAAAAAATTGTGGTTATCCCACCTTTATTATTTTTATAAATAACTCAAGGCAGTAAACATACCCATACTTCTTCCGCATCCTAATTTCTCCGCAGTAACAACCCTGAGAAGTGACTTGGGTTGAAAAAGACTGATTGACTCAAGCTCACTCAGATGGCTTTCATTCCTAAGGCAGGACCAGAATTAATAGTCTTCTGGTTTATATTCTGATGCCCTAACTATTACATCAAATTGGTCTATATGCATTATTTTTTATAAAACATATATTAATGCACTCTTAATATAAATAAAAATGCTGTAAATGAAATATAATGGTATTATTTTTTTCCCATGAGTGAACCAGAGGACTGGTTAATTCACTGAATGTTCTCTTACTAATGTTTTACCCTTCTTTGGCTCTTTCTTTGATTCTGTTGATTTTTATTTTTCCATAAAACAATTCAAGCTATATGAAAACCCATAACAACACAATAAGAGCAAACAAAAGAATGCCTGCAAAAATGAGCGCTCTGGTTCCCTTTGGGGACCACTCAGACCTGCCTTATTTTAGCCATCCTGCATGAAAAAAAAACCCCTTACTACTTTATTCTTTATGAAGACATATAATTACTCAGATCGACAATTAATATGCACTATACGTTTGTCTAAAAACAGCCTTACTCATAAAAGGTTGTCCATCCCGTTTCATCACTTTTTGTTGCCAGGAGACCACTGCTTCCATGATATGTCATTAATCCAAGTTCCAAGGTCTGGGTTGACACTGCTTTGAGACCACCGTTGGTGCTGACAGCAAGAGTCACAATTTGATTGTCAGGCATTAAAAAATGGCGTGCAGCTCCATTGGTGTCCCGCCTAATTTTCAGAGAGTTGCCGTTATTATCAACCAACTCAGTCACATCGTTATCAGTACTATAGGTGAAATTATATAGATATTCCCCTGTGACAAGACTGAGAGTATATTGATGGATACCATCAATGTTGAAGATGTACAGCTCCTGCTCTCTTGGTGAAGCAATTTCATATTGGTTGAAAGAGTTGAGGATTGGTTTATTTTTGCTGACTGCTCTGATGCGTATGTTTCCAAGATCTGCTATATAAATTGTACCATCTGGTGCTACCGCTAAGGAGGACGGGGTGTTTAAGATGGCATCAGTTGCATAAGCATCATCCCCAGCATAGCAATTACAGTTGACGTCATTTTTGCAGTCACAGTCTGAAGCTGCCCCAGCCAGAAGACAAATCTCGCCATTCGTGGTGACCTGACGAAGCCGGTTAATTTTTTTCTCATCTGTTTCACTGATGTAAAGAATGCCAGCGTGTGAGATGGCAATGGCACTGGCTGACTCCAAAGCAGAATGAATGGCCAGTTTACTAAGAGAGTAGTCTATCCCAGGAACCTGACAGTGCATTGGACGACCAGCAATAATGCTAACCTGATGGTTCTCAGTGATTCGCAAAATGACATTATTCTCCAAAACATACAGTGAGTTATCCATTGGATTGACAGCCAGATCAGTTGGCCATTCCAGTCGCACCTATAGAATAAACAACACATTACAATTGCTTTAAAAACTTTTGATGAACAAAGGTTTGTGGGGAACAGCAAATAATTGGCCAGTTTTAACGGAGTTAGTCAAGAATCAAAGCTGTATGCAGTTGCCTTAGACAATATTATTTTCAGTATTCATTAAACCTACATGCAGTCAGCTCTCTGGATCTTTATGTAAAAGATTAATTGTCCCCTTTCCAGTTAAAGGATAACCAAAGCTAATTAAACCACATCACAGTTCTATTTTTCTGTTGTACTGTAGATATATAGAAGCTTCTGCAAAAAAGGCTTGGCTTTTTTGTATTGCTTGGCTTTTTTGTATTGCTAATTATGTTAAATATTATATGTTGTATAATCAGCAATAACTTTTTTCCCCAGCAGGCTAAAACTTCTGGTGTATATTGGAGATAACCACAAGACATTTATCCATCTGTTTTATTATCAGAAACAAATAACATTCTACCTGGGTAACATCCATGCTGGAATCACAGCTCAGTGGCCGAACAGCAGTTAGATCGTTAGAGCCTAGCAGAGTTGATATGATACCATTCTGATCAACTTTCCTGATCATTGTTGCATCAACAAAGTACATAAGGCCATATTTATCCACTGCAATACCTGCCAACGTGAAACAAAAACAAAAATAAGATTTTTGCTGAAATATTTCTGAAGAACTTAGATTATACTGTATATATCAGTGATGGCGAACCTTTTAAAGACCAAGTGCCCAAACTGCAACCCAAAATCCACTTATGTATCATCGCCACGACCCACCCGTACCGGGTAACCCACCCACACCGGTTAATCCACCCGTACCTGATAACCCGCCCGTACCGACATCACTATCACCGTCTGACCCACCCTGATTTTTCAAGTTAGTTAGTTAAGGTTGAAACGCTCTAGAAAAAAAAGGACGCTCTTCAACTTTAACTAACTAACTTGGAAAAAAACAAAAACGTGTGAGCGGCGGAGGCCTAAAGCGAAAAGATTTTATAAAACCCAGCTGAAGGCCTAGGACTAGGGCGATGGCGCACGTACCCACAGAGATGGCTCTGCATGCCATCTGTGGCACGCGTGCCATAGGTTCGCCACCACGGGTATATATAATCATCTATCATCTATCATTACATATCAACCATTCCCCTGAGAATTTATCCTTTTGATATTTTGTGCTTTCAAATTCAGTTTTGGCCAATTAAAAGAGTATTAAAGTCCATTATATATATATATATATATATATATACATAATATCTATAAATGTATTTCCATTCTAATCCTAATTCAATATGATTTCTTTTCTTTTTCCTTGTATTTTAAAAAAAGATTATTCGTTCTTTTTTTTCCCTACAGTACAGACTACATTCAAATAAAACATAATTGGAAATCTAGGAATAAAACTTTCATATTAAGTTCAGAAAATTCCACGGTCTATGCCATTTGCTATCATGCCACCCTAAGCTTCTTCAGATTTCTTTTTGTCATTCTTCCCTGTATGAAAGGGATATTCCAAGAAAACAGTAATGTTGCCTAGAATCTGAGACTTTTTATCTCCCTCAGTGTTCACCAAGCTCCCTGTGCTACCCAATTTTATCTATTGCTTTGATCTCTTTTTTCTTTATTAAAAATAATTACACGGAAAGAGGACATTCTGCAAAGAAAAACACACATTTCCAGCATTACTTTTATTTCCAAGAATGCTTCTACACTTTGGTTAACCCTATGGGTAGTCTTAAAAAATAAACATGGTAGGTGTGTGCAGCTCGGCATTTTGTTTGGAAATATATTTAACTGTCTGAAGTTGGGGGAAGATAAAGAGGAGGGGTAGGAAGTGACAGAGAGTATGGGAATCAACCTTTGCTAAGTTTGCTTTCGGGTAAATGATTGTTTTGTGAGAGCATCCAAAATATGTTTTGAAACTACCAATATGCTCAATGATCCAAAAAGGTTCCTGGCCTACAACAGCCAAGGTAATAACTTATATCTTTGGAACTAGGCTAGGAACAAAATTTACGGTAGTTTGAACAATTAAGGAAAGCTTACCATAACGGCATTTTCAATATAATAAGTTAGAATTATTTATTCATTCAATTTGGAAGGTAGAATTCATACATAGCCTTTAGGTAGCAATTTATTTTATTTAGTATTTCTTTACAGTTCTTCTAGTGTTTTCATTAATTCCAAAGGGCTGAATAGCTAGAGTCTTAAACTGCAATCCTAGGGCCAATAAACAATATCTCAAAGTAAATGTTTTATTTTTGGATTACGCTACCCAAATCAGCCATTTGCTACACAACAGCAGGTGATGCCCCTTACCTCGAGGGCTCATTAATGTTGCATCTATTGCTTTCCCTCCATCACCACATCTGGCCTCATCAAAAGGCAGGCACTGCTCTCCTGTCCCTGCAACCACTTCCGAATTACCAGCCAGGTCTTTTGCACCAGTAAGGCTCTTGACTTTATAAATACGACGACTGTTGGTATCCGAAACATAAAGAGAGCCTGAAACAGGATCCACAGCTAGATAGTACTTGTGGGCAGGATTGTTACTTGAGGAGAAAGAGAGAGAGAAAAAAATAATAGCTTCAGAAGGTCTGGTGTACAGAGAGATCATTGAGCAGATATATATTAATCCGTTTCAGCCCAGGAGCATGAATTTGCCATCCTTGTGTCTAAAAGCAATCCCATAGACACCCTGCCCTCGTATAACATGCCTAACCTACTTCCATTTCTGGATTCACACAATACACCAACCCAATTAACTGGCTTCCCACAACATGCTAAGTCTTACAAGAGCTTGGCATGCTGTGTCAAAGCATCTGCTAGCTCTCTACTTGTACTGGTTTCATAGTGTACCATGAGGTTTGGCAGCCCCAATTCCCGCTTCCTTTCAGTTTGGCTAGAACAGATAGAGTTTAGGTTTGGGTGTGAGAAAACCACTGCTCTAAACTGACATGACAGCCTGAAGAAATTTCCTCCTCACAACCTCTCCAATTGCAGGACTGTGATTGTGCAAATCTAAGGGACAATAATGTCATTCTTTACCTATCACTTTGAATTCCTCGGATGAAGGGCAGATGGAAAAGTGGTAAATAAATAAAGCTGGCGGGGGCTTTTACGTAACCCCCCTAGCTTTATTTTACTTTACACTTACAACCACCGTACACAAAAAATAGAGTTTAATAAAGACATCAGAACAAATGTGGTTATACTCTGACTCATGTGGTTATAGTCTCATTATACTTGAGTCACTTTAAATGAAGACTCCATTAAAACCTCACATTTACAATCTAAGTCAAGAATTGTCGAATCGAGTGATCCTTCAAGGACAGTTAATGTTCTGTTTTCTACCTTGGTTTTTAATCAATCTTTCTTTGAGCATTACATCATTCTATTTCCCCCACATCTCCAAAACTAGAATAGACTGATTTACATCTCACTAACAAGGGCAATGGAAACATATATGATTCTCATGAATTTCCATTTATGGATTTCTTTTTTTCCATCCATGAGAATCCATTTATTATACAAAGCATAAACGTTTTGTTTTGGAACAATGCTTTGAGAAATAATGTAACCACAAATGCAAAATATATGAGACTCGAATTTTAAATTGCTTTTGACAGGAGGCGTATTTAGTTTTTTTTTAAAAAAAAATACAGCATCTGTGCTGGCTTGTAAAATCTTTATCCCATCTTCCTGCATTGCCAAATAATAGAGAATATTCCAACCTGCTCTGATGCTCTATAAAAGGTAGGTAAGCTCATAATTTTTAATTACACACATCCTTCCCTCTTAATAAAAAGAGCTTTTTTAGAAAGAGTTTTTATAGTGTGTTGGGGGAGCCTGGGATGATTAGAAGTATAACACCTACATTTAGTATTCTAAAATAGTAACAAATGTCATAAGATTAGTTACTTTCAAGGTTAAAGCTGAAGTAGGGCAAAATTGTCTTTGTTATTAAAATAAAATCAAGATGTTCTCTCTTCGAAGGTTTTCTGTTCAAAGCCTAAGCTTTGAAGTGCTTCACATTTCCCTTTGAGAAAAGGAGCAACATGCATTCAAAGTGTGTGGGAATGGCTTTGCTATTATTACTGATTGCCCAGAAAACAATTTTCTCACAATATAAAAATGCATAGTGAAATAATTTCCGCTGTGTTTTATCTTCGTTACTGCTTGTTTGAAACAAAGCAGCTCAAACCTATGGCTTAGGAAAATTGTTAAAATCAGCTGCATCTTCATATTTGGCTGACAGCCTTTGATGGCGTCTCCAGAAAGATATAGTACAGGTAGTCCTTGACCTATGATCATTTCTTCAGCAACCATTTGAAGTTACAATAACAAGAAACAAATGATTGATCCTTGGAGTCCTGGCCATCCTAGAACTCTCCCCCCCCAACTGTCATGTGACCACAATTTGGGTGTTTGGCAATTGGTTTGCACTTATGACCAGTTGCAATGCCCCATGATCACATGATCACCTTTTGCAACTTTTGTTGTCCTGCAGGGAAGATACCAAGTCACTGGGGTAAATTTCCCCCACCTGCATAATATTCCTTAGCCTCTTTGATTTCATGCTGTGCCAACCACTCACACACCCCCATGCACCCCTTCTGCACACTTCCTGAACTGTGCCATGCCTCTTGCACATCTCCTCAGAACACCAACCTGTATCATGTTTTTTGCACACTACTTAGTACCCCTTTATCAACCCATGTCATGCCTGTCATGAACCTCATTGCATTCTTGCATCCCCTCATGCCCCTCCCTGACCCTCACGATGCCTCTGGTGCACGCCTTTGCACCCACTAACACTCTATCCTGCATCCTTTGCCTTCACCCAGTAGCAGCCATTGCCCTGCCTGTTGGCCTGAGACTTGCAACTTTCTGTTGGCTTCCTCATGGACTTTGGTTGTGGGAAGCCAGTAGGATGCTGCTTCAGCTAATAACCATGGGATTCAGTTAACAATGGCAATCAGCAATGTAGGGATGGCCCTTGTTAAGGGATGTGGTTATGTTTTATGATTGCATTGCTTAGCAATGGAAATCCTAGTTCCAATTGCTGTTATAAGTTGAGGACTACCTGTACTTGAGAAGGTATGTTAGCACATGGACAGTCTCTGCTCATTCCTGTCGTGATAATGTATGATCTTGTAGATTTTTGAATGTTGCCTGCCTTGCAGGTAAGGCCTACAGGTAAATGTGTAACTGCCACAGCCAGATGCACGTGTCTAGGTTTGCGGCTTACACTCCTACTTGTTCTTCAGTCAGTTCATTTGGGTGGGTCTTGCCTACAGCCTTCAAGATAGAAGCTTTAGTCCAGCATTATAAGTAGTTTTTTTCTCTTCATTACAACAGAAATGAGCGTGGTATATGTTCATTAATACTTCCCACTTTATAATTATTTCAAGGTAGGTAATTTGAACTTATGATCTGGACAACCTTGGTTTAGATTGTATCTCCGCCATAGTGTCATTCAATGTGTATAAAGAGCAGGGGGCTCATTAAAAGAGTAAAAATGCCTCTGTGTTGAATAAGGAATGCATAGAACAGCCCTAGCTACTTTTTGGGTTGTTCAGTGGATGATATAGTGATCTTACAATGGTTCACAAAGCACAAGATATCTATTCAGTAAGTAAAATGTATGTAAAATAGACAATTTGATATCAAATGCTTTGGTTTTCTTTCCATGTGTTCCTTATATCTCATAATATTGGGATCAACTTCAGCACTGGTACTGCAATCCCCAAGATTCAAGGAGGTAAAGCATTATGGGGTTCTTGGTGCTCCCTGAGCTTAATTGTTTTCTAGCAGCAGCAGCGTTAGCTGATGATGTTACCTAGTTTGGTAACATCATAAACCTCTGCAAAAAAACAGCCAAGCTCAGAGAGCACCAAGGACCCCTCATTTGAACTCCGATCTGCAAATATTCTTTTTTATAGGCACAGCATTACTTCAAAGAAGGCTTTCATAATATTTTCACCCTCTAGAAGGCATTGTACGGACTAATTAGTTTCTAAGGTTTCCTGAAAGCATGACTGCCTCTTTCCTGTTCTCTTGTAAGATTAGCATTCTGTAATCTGCAGCTATCCTATAAACTCATACATTTCAGCCAACCACACAATAGTTTAGATTGTGGCAAATCTTTTCTTTTTTGCCTTCATAACAAATCAATCCTAAAATACTGCAATGTTAATTCTCTATATTGGTAATAACGTCCCTCAGATCTGACACAAAGCTAAGCTATTGTTTTGCTGAAATCTTTCTGCCTTATTTCATAGGGTCATTGAGTGTCTTGAGATATTAGAGGCTTTTTCTAATAAATCTATTTTGACAGGTGTTCAAGGTGTAGAGCAAGTGAACCACCTGCAAATTTAGAAATGTCAGCTTCAGCTATTCAAATAGACAACTGGACTAAATGGAGATACTCCTGCACAAACATCCCTGGGCTAACAGGCAGATGGAATGAGTATTTTAAATAAGATCTCTGCAGATGCCAGCCCTAGGTGACACAGGGCAAACTCCTTTAAAAGCCAAGAGAGTTTTTAAAAGACAGCAGAACAAAGACAGAAAATTAAGTTATTTCTTGTTAAGTAGATTTCTTGAGGGAGCAGAGTGAGATAAATAAAGCCAGCTCCACAATAAAAGATGTTCTGGACAATTACATTAGGCATGGTTGCAAACTGGGATTTGATGATACTCAGATTGGATGATACCCTTGTGAATAAAGTTGAAAAAAATGCATAAAAAAGGCAATTTTTGCTGATTTTGTCATTAAAAGAGATGTTCAAGACGACACCCACAATAATGCAATCAAAGCTCTGTCCATTTTCAATGTGCATTCTGCATTGTGTGTGTGTGATACACATTAAAACAGGCAGAGCTTTAATTGCACTGCCTTGACTTTTTTTGACAATGCGAGTACCCTAAATTGACTATGATAATGTAAGATTCCTAGTATTGTGTGACACTAAGTGAATTTATTAATAACACAGGTGAATTTAATTGGGGCAACAACTGTCTTATATACCGGCACAAGTAACATTTAACTTAGAATCTTCCATTTTTATTTCAGCAGCTCAATTTCACAAATGCTAATTTGTGTTAGAGTAAGGACAATACATTTGAGTTTAGCAGTTACAGCAAGAGACTTATAATATATCCAGAATGAAACTTTATTTGCAGTATCAATATATCTAGCTTGGTCAAACTGGATCTATGGGATCTTATGTTTTTATGTTATGCCTTAATTATTCAAATATTAAAACATTTTGCAATAATGTATCTAGGAATTGCAAAAGTTACCAGCAAGTACTGTAAATGCCTGATTGTGTTTTATGGTTTTTCACATGCTTCTAGGACAATGTCCAAAGATGTAGGGCAGATGAGCAAAACCATGCATGTAAAAAGTGAACAGCAAAAGGAATGAAACCCTTTGCAAAGGAATTTAAACTCACTTCAAAATAACTAATGAATTTGGTGATTGGATATAAACTGTTCAAAGTAACCTAATAATATTGAGTTAAAGGGTGAGATGGAATGGGAGAACAAATCTGGAGGGAAAAAATCCTTTAATGGATTGGAAATGAGTTTTTGACCCATTTCTAGTCCATTAGTGGTTTTCTAAACCCTTTTCAGCATTTACAAGAACCACTCCTGCAGTTTTCCTCAACCATTTAAACGAATTAGACACTACAGAGAAAATGGTCATATTGAAGTTTATTTGGAGTTCATTATATTCTCATTCCACTAATTCTTTGGTTGCTTTTTTACTGCATTTGTATAACTACTACTGCTTACCATATTTCTAACACAAAATTAGAACACTAATATTGCTACACCTGATACATTAAAAACAGAACATTGTACAAAAAAGCACAACACAAAAAGCAAACAAAATGGAACAAGCAAGCTATAGCAAATGATAATAGGATTGCAAACTTGGCTTACCTATGTTTAAATTCTTTATTTCTTTACAGAAAGAAAACAGAAAAGAAACAAGGGGGAGGGAGGGAAGAAAGAGAGAACAGTTAGCTGAAGAAGAGACCATGTAGCAAACATTACATATTGTCTTATTCTACAAGATGGCAAAAAGAAACCTGTTCCCAATGTGAATCTTGACTTATTCAGGCATGAAGCCGTACAGAAAGTGTTGCTGTCTCTGTATCTGCTGGGACGGACTCTTAAGACTTTTATTGTAAAAATACAATAGTCCATTCTGTCCCTTCCTCATACTCTTCTTAGTTTACAATGCAGTAGATGAAATTGGGCGCAGTACTCTAAAGGTGATTAGACTAATACTGAATACAGGATCATTACTAAACATTGGGCTCCCTTTACTGCAACCTAAGGTTGCTCCATTTTTTCTTGGAGCTGATTGCCATTTCTTATTCAGTTTGGGATATGTTAAGATGAACGTAATTTTTATATCTGTAGTTCCCGAACCTGTCTCTCCCATCTTGACTATATTTATTTCAACTGAATTTAACCAAATTTAGGCATAGTTTAGAGATTGTTTTAAATTTTCCTCCTACCTTCTGTGTTGCAGCCTACAATTTCTAGCTTTATTTTATTTACAATGTTTTTGTCCCTAATCCAGGACTAGGTCTATTACAGGTTCCTGGGGGCAGGGAAGTATCTTTCCATGCTAATGCAGACATTCATTGCATATGCCTGCTTAATAGACTGCTGATTCATGTAAAAGGAAAAACACTCAATCCACCTTTTACAATTCCGCCAACCAGAATATTCTGAGAAATCTCCTAAATGCTATGCTGAAACCAAAGTATGTTCTTTCCATAATTTTTCCTAGTCTAGTGCCTAAGTACATAGACTCGAACAGGGGTCTTCAAACTTGGCCCTTTTATGACTTGTGGACTTCAACTCCCAGAATTCCTCAGCCAGCATGCCTGGCTGAGGAATTCTGGGAGTTGAAGTTTACAAGTCATAAAAGGGCCAAGTTTGAAGACCCCTGGACTAGGAGGTTTGCTGGATCCCACATAAGCTATTATGATAGAAATAAATTTATTATTCTACAGCTCTAATTAGTTTATAATTAACAAAATTATGGATACAATCTAGGCATTCACAAAGGGACTAGGATAAATATTACCCCACTAACATATTTTAGGCCATAAACATGGTCTTTCTTTTCTTTTAACCAATCCCAGTTGAATAATCAACAAATATAAATTTATGAATATGAAAGACCAGCATTAATACAACTTTCCTGAATAAATTAACTTTCTTCTACAATGTGTTGGGTCCTTCAGCTTTAAAGCCAGTATGTGCAGCTATACTGGGTATCGTCTGCTTTTTGTGATATTTCACAAATTTTGGAAGCTAAGTCATGTCTTGTGCTGAAACATAATTTGAATGAATCATTCATTGGTTCCTAATTGAAGGTAATTCTCATTTAACCTCTAGTTTCTCACAATGATCAACTACCAAGTTCCTCCAGTTTTCTTCCAGAAACTCACAGTCAGCTTGCAACACTTCCTCTCTGAACATGGATGTCCCATTTAACTGGTAAAACTGAGAGCCATTTATAAGACTACTATCTGTTAACTTTTCCTATAATTATATTTTGCATCTGTAAATGTCACATGTCAAAATCTTTCTCTCTCGCTTATCCTTTTATTTTCTCAAAACTGTCATATATGTAAAATTAAAAGGAAATAGCTCCATCTCAATTTGGCACAGATAATTCAATTCAAGCCTATAGCAGGAATGTAATTCAATTTGGTGCCCCAGTGAGTTTCAGATTATGTCATTCTGAATGCTTGGTCTATATGAAGATTTGGGAAAATGATGCACACTACAAGAATATCTTTTGTTTACAGATAAACTAGATTAAGTTATAATTTCACTTATATTTTTGCATGGATTTGGAACACTTTGCTAATTCTTATCTTATCAGTATTATTTTAAGTGTCCTGTTTTTGTATTTATTTAGAATGCATAGAAATTTGCAACAATATTAGTTCATATAATGGAGAACATCTGTGATAAATGTTTAGGCAGAATGTGATTTTGTGCAGAAAGGAAGGGTGATTAAAATGAGTAATGCCTATTTTTGCATATGATGGCCATACTTGTCCACAAAATTATGTATTTTTTTTCAGTAAAAAAAATCATTCAGTACATTAGATCAGCCTATAATGCGATACAGAGAATTTAGTGACATAGTTATCTCAAGAGAAGAAAAAATGATCTACAGCTGTAATATGGTTTGCTCATTATTAAATCCAGTACTCTTTTCTTTCTTCCACTCCATCCATTAAATATTATCAAATCTTCTCCCCCCCCCACTTTTGGCATAGCTGCAAAATTGGTACTATACTCTTCAGTATGATTGAGTATTAGAAAAAATGCTTTGTGTAACTCTAAAATCAAAACAAAGTGGATTTAAATAGGAAATCTCATCCCTGCCAAAACTGGCAGGGCAAGTTATTGCAAATAAACAGGCAGGTAACTTGCACTAATGATGTTGCCTTGTTGGGTAATGAAATGTCTGCAAGTTCAGAGAACACCAAGAACTAAAGCAGATTTAGCTCTGACAGTTCCACCTTTGTTAAAATACTTTCACCTATGAGTTATTCTAACCTATCTCATGTTCCTGAACACCTCTAGTTATATTTGTTTATATGGGATCCATTCTTTGTTTCATTTCCATTAATGCAAAACTAAGTCTTATAGGCCTCTTGAGAAGGCAACGAACACCTGACACTACATTATACTGAATTCAATCAGAATTCCACAGTGTCCAGTTGCCGTGGACCTAATCAATGCTAGACAATACTGTACAAAAGTTCTAATGAAATCACTTAAGGAAACCAGTGGATAAAAGTTTGCCTCTTGTTTTGTATAATCAAGAAAAAGATTTCTGCCTTTAAACAAACAATTATTAATATATTAGAATTAGCAAAAAATAATATTACATATAGCTCTGGTTTTCAGCACTTTGTATGTTTTAGGACAATGGATTCAATGATATGTATAATCTGAGCAGTTTTATCTACATGGAGTCTATGACTCCAGTTTGAAGTTGCAAGCTAGAAATAGTAGAGCAGTATATAAGAATTAACAAATGAAAGAAAAATTGCATTCTATCCCATATTCATAAATTATCTAGAAATCAGGAGAGAGATTACAGCTTTCACTAAAAAAGCTAAATATGGTTCAACAAAAGCAATTATAATATCATGCCACTGAAGTAGAAATATCCCAATATCACAAGTATAATCAGAAGATTTAATTTGATTTAATGAAAGTGTCATCCCAATGTGAAACTGCTTTGAAAATGAGGGCTATCAAAGTATGATGATACCAGAGTATGGAAGACTAACATTTTCAGATCCTCTTTTCTTTTTTGTGGATCAGTTTAAGATATGAAGACTTAAGGTAACCATTTTGTCTTTAAAGCTCTGCCCAAAATGTAAAAAGGGAAAAAAATGAATTCAAAAAAATTTAGCTCTACCCACTCTAAGGACTTGGAAAAGGGGTATAGGAGTACTATGAATTGCACAACCGTGCCATAAAAATAAATGCAAATACACAGCTGATGAACACTTGCACTACTGTGCATAATTCAGTTTACTGCATCTCAAAATCCATAATGTTGAATCAAAAAGAGACACAAAAGAGAAATCAAAATGTCTCAGGGTTAGAACAACTCCACTTTAAGGAAAAATGTTAAATGTTTTGGCCTTTGAACTTAAAAAAGATTGTGTAATAAAGATATATGAAATTACGGACATAATATGTGAGCATTATTTTTTCTCCTGTTCTCATGCTACAACCCAGGATTAACCATTGAAGCTGAATAATGAGAGGTTCAGGACTTACTTGGGAATAGAAACAAGCCTTCATATTCCTACAGCCTTCATATTCTACTGATTGATTTCCAAAGCCATTCGACTGGCCAGTATGGATATACAATGCTGGACTAAATATGTTCACTATTTTAGCAGAATCCTAACATTTGTTATTTTTTATTCTCTTGCTTTGTTTTATTACCGTTCCGTTCATACATACTTTCATTCACCCTTCTCCTTTTGTCCTTTCCTTTCCTTTTCACTACAATATTCTTTTGCATTCCTCTTCTTATTTATCATTCCCACTGCCAATTTCCTGCTTTCCAGTTCTGACCCGTTTCTATTCTCTTTCCTGATCATTTTAACTGATTTAACAGTCTTTTGCTTTCTAATTTACTTTTCTCCTCTCCTAATTTAACTCCTTCCTCCTATTGCAGTTATGCCCATTTTCTCTTCTTCAGTCCCTTTTTAAAAACAAAACAAAAAATTAACTTCCACCTAGATTCTTTTATAATAATGCTTAACCGGCACTGCCCATTCTGATTCTTTAATGGTAAATTTCACAATTCATGGACTGCTTGAATTCCCATTATAATCTTCAAAGGAAGAGGGGGGGAAATGCAACTTTATGCCAGTTTTGATCCATCACTCATGTTCACCTATCAGTTGTGAACAGTGGATTGTGCTGAGGGCTACAAGCAACAACAGTCTAGAAAGCTATAAAGAAAATCACTTAGGAAAGCTCTTATAGTGGTGCTTTTAGCAGTGGCATTACCTTAGCTCCAAAATGCTGGTGACGTTCCTTGAGGGAAAGATGCGTCGAATGTAGTTGAAATCCCCAACAAACAGGCTCCCATCAATTCCCACTGCAAGTGCCACAGGAGCAAGAAGTTTGTTTCCTTCTGCAAGTCCATTGCAACTTGGGCAGGAGATACTTCGCCGACGACCATTTCCCATAATGCTGGTAATTACTGCTGGTTGTTGAGTTAAAAACTGATTCTCTCCACTACCTTTGTGTAGAATACCTAACAACATGCAAAAAAGCACACTATATTTTATTTTTATTCATGGGATGTTTTGGTTGCCAAATCCTGTGATTGGAATTTATCTGTCTTCAGAGTTTTATTACATGGTTCAGATTGTAAGGACATAGCTTATAAATTTCTGCTAGCCAATGTTTTCATTTTGCTAACTTTAACAAGTCACCTTATCCTTCACCAACTTAATACCATCCAGATTTGACAGATTTGACAGAGACAATGCTGGAAGGAAGTATTTATTTTATTTATTTATTTATTGAATTTATATACCATTTATATAGCATTGAAGTCTGAGACTTTGGCGGCACTATGTCTTGGGACTAATATAAACTATGTGATATCTAATTCATTTCCTGTATATGGTAACTCTTTGACTAACACAGTGAAAAAGAGACATGTTCTTTATTGAAATCAGTAATGCTCACAATAAAATAGACAATTTAATAGATTTTCCTTAGATCTTTCCCATTCTAATTTCCTATTAAGATATGCACCATTTGGAATAGCATGAGGTTTTTAATGAATTCAACCCTGAAAACCCACTCATTATCGCTCTGAGATGCTAAAATCAACTTTGAATGTTTGGCAAGGGTATAATTGTTGGGAATTTTTCTCTTTCTTTTTCCCAGTCCAGGTGTGGTGAACATATTTAAGCCCTGGGAACTGATCAGCTTCTTTGTTCTTTTAAGTGAACGAGTTGAGAGAAAAATTTTCAACCTTCCTCTACCAAAGAGGAAGTCAGAGAATATGCCAAGCAGACATTAAATAATGAATTACTTTAAAATGTGTTTCATACTTGACACTGGCAATTTAAATAGTAAAATTTTATTGCAAGGTAGTTTGAATTTTTTATGGAAAGGTGATAGTCAAAATTCAGTCAGCTGATTTTTTTTTGTTAAAGTTTAATGTGTTTTATAAGTTGAACAAAAAATTGGATATGTGAAATAAACTGTGAAAGTCAAATAATGTAATTTAAAGAAAAATAATAATTTTATTCATTCATTTATTTAAAGATTTATTTGCTGTCTGTGGGTGAGCCTTGCAGGGTGTTGATGATTTACAAGAATACATCAAAACATTCTTTAAAATCTAAGTCTGATATAGGAAAGTCTGCTGAGGAAATTTCAATGATACATAAGAACCAACTTCTTTCAAATATCCTTTTCTCAATTGGTTTCACTGTTACAACGTATACATCTGTATGTAAGTTAATTAACAGACATACAAAAATTTTCATTTTGGACTGTTATTCTGTTAATTGAGATTCTCCATACTTAAATTGTGTGCATATTCTTAGCACATTCCTAAACACAAAATCATATTTATGCGTGAATGAATGAAACAAAAGTCAAGAGAGTCCTTCCCATATATCCTTGTTTGTATGGATTTCTAGTCATTGTTTGTTTCCTACCTCAAACTTAAAGCTGACACAGATTTCTGGTCAGTTGTGACTGGAAAAGGAAACAAGGGCTGCAAGTGCCCATCCCTGGCTTAATACAATCGCTATGTTCACTTAACACAGTTAATTAGACCAGCAAATATCTAGCAACTACATTCACATAACATGCTAACCTTAGTTAGTTCTAAGTTTAGTTTCATTTTTGAGGCTTAGCCAGTTTCACAGGCTCAATCCACATGGTTCACTAACAGTTCAATGCCTTGTAAAAATCCACAAAAGGAATTGTATTGTAAGATTAAGTAAGCTATGTGCATGCAGCTAATATCTCAACACAAACAATGCTTTACAGAATAACACTAAAGGCATAATTTTCTTCATACATTTTAAATATTAAAACATGTTTTAAATATTGGCCCTACAGGGCCTTCTTATTGTTTAGCATCCATAAGATGTTAGCACAAGCATTTCTTATTATTCCAAGCACACCTATGAGAATGGAACCTATAGGGATGGGAAAACTGTACTTCCAGATTTTGCTAAGCTACAATTCTCTGTATCCTGTAACATCAGTCATGTTGACTAAGCTTCCGAGAATTGTTCACCAACATCTTTAGGGCAAGAGATTCCCTACCAAAACCCCCACAAATGAATATCAATAAGCTTACCACTTTTTATATTAAGAACATGATGCTTATCCAATGACCAACCACCTAGATTTGAAGGGTCAAGTTCAAAGCCTTGCAGTAGAGCAGTCCTTTTTTCCCATAAAATCAGACTGGGACAGGTCTCATACTCGAAGCCCACAGACACTGAAATATATATAGACATATTTTATATTAATAACCATTGTTATGTGAATGACTTGCCATCTACTATGAAATACAGTTCCCAAGGTATTTTATTTTATTCTACATTATTAAACCTAGATATTTGACTTCATTTGACCCTGAAATTTAACTTGACGTATACTCTGAAGAGCTGTACAGAGTTTTAAAGTTGCAGGAAATGATTGATTTAATAAAGGAAGGAGGGGAGTGATGATGACAGCCCAGATTCTATTTTTAATTAGCTGGCTGCTTCTAGCACTGAAAATACATATCTAACTTCAATACTGTACTTTTGTGTTCATGGGAAAAAGTACAGAATAAAACTCTGGAAATACGTTAAATAATGCATTAACCTGATACCCCATTATCCACAGAGTTATCAGATGGACATCTTGAAAAATATTAAATTATAGATTATTGTTCTTACCAAATTTATGGCTTTCTTGTTTCAATTTGAAACCAGCCTATTTATTAGTCACTGTAAGGTTTACTGATTCCCATAAAGTTTCCACATATTATTACATATTGCAGAAACCAACAGGCAATGTTCTGACACATGGATTAGCATGACACATATTGGGAGTTACTGTGAGTAAAGTATTGAATTAGCAACAGAAAGTTCTTGATTCATCTTCACTTCCAGCTTGAGTGACTTGGTCAGTATGACAAACTGGAAGACTGGGCAAGTTAGGGCTCAGGGGGTTAATAATACTGTGTCCAAAGACAAAGAGGGCCTAGAGGGTTGGTAAGATTTACTGCCAGGAAATTGCTCAGCCAGGCCTCCAAGGAGCAGAGGGGATAAAAGTATACTGGTAAAATGGCTGGAACAGCTTTTGAATAGAATATAATAGAATAGAACTGGAAGGGATCTTGGAGGTCTTCTAGTCCAGCCCCGTGCTCAAGCAGGAGAACCTATACCATCTCAGACAAGTGATTGCCTAGTCTCTTCTTAACAACTAGGTGGACAGAGAAGGAGGTAAAGATCAAGGAAAAGTCATTAAAGAAATAAAAAACCACAGTTAAAATCAGAATGAATGGAAGAGGAATAGAAAGTGGAGCAGAAGCTTTAAGGTATATCAGGGTGGAGGAGATAGTCATTATATCAGATAGCATGGTTTTTGCCAGACAACTGCCTGTGTAGGAGGCCTAATGAAACTGACTCTATTTAAAATGGACCAGTGGAGCTGTTTTCCTTTATATGGTAATAGCAGAGATAGTGGGAAAACAAACAGAGCAATGCAAGAGAAAAGAAAAAATAAATAGAACTACTGTTTACTTGAGTGAATGTTAGAAAAATGTTCATCCCTGGAATGAAAAGACAGGAGAGGGTACCTTACCGCCATCTGACCTGCTAAGGAGATCTATAGGGGACTGGACAAGTGAAGGGGAAAACCCTTGGTAGGGAACTTGTTATGTGGCAATAGGAATGATTGGGAGTTGTGGGCTAGGTAGATAAGGGGATGGACATGGAGGCAGGATGATAATAATGATGGGAAGGAGAAAGTATGGCAGGTGAGATGGTCCAGAGGAAGAAATATTGCAAAGTTGTCCCCATATCAAGAACCAGACAACTAGACTGATAAGCAAGCCAAACTCGGGCACGATACTTCTGAATTCAAGATTTGTTTCCCATGAATGTAGTCTCAGAGATCTGGCTGGAAGAGGGGGATTTTCTCTCACTGAAATTTATCAAACGGGGTTTTGTCACTTTCTTCAGTGCTGATGCCAAGATAGGGAAAGTACTGTGGCAGTTATGTACCAGAAGCGCCTGGCTATTGTGAAGAACTCTGTTCCACAGATGGCCAGATATGAGGCCATATTTGTGAAATTATGTCCAAAGAACAAGCTTGGGGGGAGACTTGGGAGGGGGTGTTATTATACTGTCCAACCCTACATGGCAGCATCTCTCTCTGAGTTGCTTTATCTTCTTGCAAAGATGATTATAGATTTCCCCGTATTGTTAGTGCAAAATAATTGTCATGGCTGTCATAACAATCTGAAACTTTTTCTTGAGACAAACCACTTTGTTGGCCACATGGTAGATCTGCTTCATTTCAGAGCAGAGGAGACATGATCTGGTCCTGGCAGACATCTAAAAGTGATTTGTTTTTGCCATGTACGAATACTATTCTAGTGATGATAGGGTTAATTGGATCCCTAACCTCCAAAGTAGGATAGTCCAAGTAAGATGCCTATCCTGATATCTGACAGATCTAGTAACTTCCCATACTTGAAAAATGACATAGGAATCTGGAGAAATTATGTTAAATGTCTCATTGGCCTCTGGAATTCAACCTAGAACTAAGGAAAAATGTCCTGACAATTAGAACAGTTAATCTGTGGAATGAGTTGCCTCCACAAGTTGTGGGTGCTCCAACACTGGAGGCTTTTAAGAAGAGATTGGACAATAACTTGTCTGAAATGGTAAGGGTTTCCTGTTTGGGTAGGTGTTTGGCTAGAAGACTTCCAAGGTCCCGTTCAACTCTGTTATTGTTCAACTATAACAGGATTGCTTTTGAATAGCCTTTCCCTGTCCACTGATCCCAATGATCAATTTGATTTTCTGAAGATTTTTAGAAAATCAAGTAGATGAAGGAACACCTCAAACAATGCTGTTGGAAAACAAGAAATAAGTATAACTAGATAAGGATATGGGGTCACATTCCAGCTTCCTCCAGAAATGGCATCTGCTGTTCCATAGTAGGATATCATCAATATACTGATGATACCTACTTGCATTTCTAACTCTAGCAAGTTAAGTAGTTGCTAATTCAGAAACCTACTCATTCCAATATTATATCCTATGTAATTTGCAATGATATTGTGCTTCCCCAGAAAGGGTTAGACTTGGAGTCTGGGTGTCCTGCCAGAGGAGCAAGTGAAGGCTGTTCCCGGGAAAGCACTCTCTCGATTTTTTTATTCCAGAACAGGATAAACTTTTGCTCAAATAAGAGCTCATGTTCTTATGTTTTCTCAATTCTATGACTGTCATTCATTCTACATGAGGCTGACCTTGAAGATTACTCAACTGTTCCAAAATGCAGCGACCTGCATGTTTAACATTCAGGTCTAATCTTACTTTGTTAGACTACCAGTATATTTTCAAATGCAATTCAAGTGCTGTTTACCACCTTCAAGATCTTTAATGGCTTAGACCAGGGGTAGTCAACCTTGGCTCTTTTATGACTCGTGGACTTCAACTCCCAGAATTCCTGAGCCAGCTTAGCTGGCTCAGGAATTCTGGGAGTTGAAGTCCACGAGTCATAAAAGAGCCAAGGTTGACTACCCCTGGCTTAGACTATCTTTTCCTGGTAATTTTTGCCCAAACCAGACAGCTGGAGAACTTTTGCTTAAGGTCCCAGCCTACCAGGAAATGCAATAGGAGTGACCTGATGGGGGTGGGTGGGAGTGGATGGGTGTTCTTTATAGGGACTTCCTTTCTATGGAACAGGATATCTTCCAAGGCAAAGATGGACACTATGCCTTTGGCCATCTGGAAAGCTGTAAAGAACTGTTTTTTTCCAAAGAGACATCCAGAATGATTCTGGACAAGACCTACTGATATAGGAATTAGGTTTATTACTGTATATATCTTGTGTTACTCTAATGTTTTTCTAGTAATGATACTACATTTTATTATGCCTACTATAAACCACCTAGCATCCAAATGGATTAAGGCAGTGTATACATTAAATAAATAAAAAGTCATATATACATTTTATGAATCTGGCTGCCTAGAAATATACTTCATCAGTTAGTTAGGATAGGGAGTGGATCAAAAAGAAGACTAGAAGAGATCTGAGTGCAATGTATCATTTAGGAGGATCACTTGTATTCCAATAAAATTCAATAGCTTTCTCTAAGCTCCATCTATCGTATTCCAGAAGAAGTGGGATAATCCCATACGCCAAGTTCTCTGGCACAGATATGTGAGTCACCAACAAACTATGTCCTAGATGCCCAATTAATAACAAAATCTGTTTAACACAAGCCAGGATTTGGCTTGAAAATATAGATGTAGATAGGGCTGTGTTGGCAAAGTGACTGAAGAGCACCTCTGCATCTGATCTTGAAGTTGTAAGGCATCACATCCTATCTGACTTATCTGCATTGAAGATCTCTTCTTGTCATCTTGTGTATACATACAGTATGCACGCACTGTGATACTTTCTCTGAGACTGCAGTTAAAAGTTTGCAAGACTGAAGAGTTGCCTTGATCATTTCCTGAAGAATTCTCAAGTTCCTCAAACAGCTCTTAAGGATATAGACAACCACTTCATAAATTCAGTTAAGATGGAAGACTGGTAAAACTCCCTTATCTTTTACCCCACAGAAAACATAAATGATGATCTGAGTTCTCTGTGAGAAATGTTCAATTATATCAAAATGTCATTTGAATGATTTTTCTTGTCCTCTCTGAAAAGCTTGGGGAAACTCTGTAAATCAGGCTTTTATCACCTAAACAATTGATTATTTACAGTCTTTGCCCCTAATATGTAATATTTGTCAGTAATGTTAATAAAATACTGGAAAAAAGTCACTGGGAGTGCTAGTGAATGTTTGAGTTTATTCCACAAGTCACATCTCATGATGGCAATATGTTCATGGCCAACTTCACCCATGGCTCTGGTACATTATTCAAATTTCTATTTTGTATAAAAGTTTTGTGATGATACCTTGTCTTGCTAGACTCAATTAGAAACTAAAAATGCAGGAGCAAACCATTGCAGAAACATACTCCTGCCCCTTCTTCAATTCTCCTAGCATCTCACTGCCTTCTGTCCAAACACATACAAACTTGTGTACTTTTCTTGGGATATAAAAGGAAAAGAAAACAAATTGTGGATATCAATAAAGAAGGTATTGATTCCTATGTTCCCTATTTAATATTGATGTAACAGGAGTCCACAACCTTACTGGACTAGAGACCCATTTTGAATTATGAAAACATGTCATAGCCATTTTTTTTAAAAAAAAAATCTGTCATGGGAAGTGTTTCAGTTCACAGAATGATTGTGATAAGTAACTTAACCAATCAGAATAACTTCTCTAACAGATGCATCATATCATTCTTTCAATTCTTCTTACCCCCCAATAGGTTAAATAAATGAATAGATTTTTGCCCCCGATCAATTATTTCTTCAACCATCATTTTTATGACAGCTTGGGGAACCAATTTGTGGCCCAGAGAAAATTCCAGTGAAATGAAGTTGAAAATATAATCTTCCTTTTTTGTAGTGTTCTCGTTTTCTATTTCTCACCCCTTTTTTATCTTTCTGTTTCTCTGTCTCTGTCTGTCTGTCTTTGTCTCTCTCTGGTATCAACCTAAAAACCAAGAGATCATGAGTTCTAGTCCTTTCTTAGGCACAAAGCCACTTAGGTGACCTATAGGCAATCTCTGAGAAACATACATGATTGAAGGCAGCATACACACACACACACACACACACACACACAGTCAGGTATAACAGGAGGATTAGTATTTATAAAGCAAAATAATAGCAGGCACAGTGGTGCCCATAAGTATTATATTGGGTACTCCCAGATAGAATGTTACATGCAATATCTATTAGATATTATAAACAAGTAATACATGTGTTATTTCAATAAGCCTTCAATATTAGTTATTTTGACTGAGGGCATCTATCACATGTATTTTGATTAGAGTATTTTTACTGTAACATTGGTTGTTGTTTTTTTAAATGTTGTTTGTATAATGCCCACTTTACTTTGTAATTGGGAAAGTTATAAATACTGTCTAAACAATAAACAAAATAAATGATAGCTGGAAAAACTGCTGCTACTGTGGAATAATGGAAGCTGTCTATAGGCATTTTCTATTGTCAGTGCAGATCACAGATTTTTCTTTAACTTAAGAGCAGTTGTTGAAAGCCACCACTTAAAAGTTACATGATTTGAATCTAGTGATCATACCTACAGCATCCGAGAGCCCGTAAACTTTCTGGCCATAGGCATCTGTTTTATCCCAAATGAAAGTATATGCCAAATTGGGAGATGCTTGGAATGACTTTTGGAAAAGATGCCCTTCCACTGCTACCATGAGATGAACTTTAATTAAGTTCAGAGGCACAAGAGATTGTGTCATGGTGATTTTAAGCAAGGATCTGTATCCAGCAGTACGGGAACTCAGATAGCAGAGCTTTATGTTGGCACCTGGAATCTCAATTTCTTCATGAAGAACCTAAATAAGGAAAGAGAGTTCATATTAAATGAGTGTGGTATGGAAGAGATTTATTTGGTTCAGCTCATGGGTTGTACTTGTAGGTTAAAGTAAATGCGCTAGGAAATTTTAGCCTGCCTTCCTGCAATGGTAAGACTTAGGATAGGTCTTCTGGGTTAGTCATATTTGGGCACTGTTATTGCTTCTTTTAAAATCCACATCATTGGCAAAAGCATCAATAAGAATCACAGATCTGATTGCTAGTTTTATGCAAGAAGGCCCCATGAAGCTGTAATGCTACGAAGTTACAACTACCACTGACAGTCATCTTAAAGTAGCAAGGATGCCTAAGGGGGTGGGTGGGTGGGTGGGAAAAGCAGAATAACAGTAGCAATGAAGAAGATGGAACACCCCCTTATCACCTGGGTATGCCACATGCCTTAGCTGCATGTATTATGTTTTTGCAAACATGCCAAATAGGATGCTTGCTCAAACTTGAATCTGTGAAAACTTCATGCAGAGCAAGAATGGAGATGGGACATGTATCAGGTTTTTGTTTAGATTAAAAGAGACATGTAAGCGAGAGGAACTGAACTCTCCCCATGCTACTCCTTACCTCTTCCCATAGCTCTTCTCCATAGCTCTCCTAGAAGTTCCCTTCTAGTACTGCATCTTGGCTGAGGAGAAGATGCCTGGGGAAGCAAAGCTATTTGGGGGAGGAGGGTTCAGCACCTTGTGTATCTGCTCTTTAAATTCTAGAACCAACTCTTTTTCTATGTGATTGTGGCAAGAGGCAATTTGCCTGCTGGCCTTATGCCTAACTCGACCTGCTCAATGGGATTTTATAATCTAGAGAGAAAACTGGATAAGGTTTAAGGTTTTCAGAAGAATCTAGTACACAAAATGAACAAGAAAAGCTTAGCACAATACATCCATCATCATTAAATAGGTTTGTTCTTTTTACACAGGAACATTTCTGATGATTAATTTCTACATTTATATCTAGAAGAATCAAGTGCTAAATTAGGAATCTGATGATACAGATTCAGGATTTGTCATGAACAATAGGTACAAGTCAAAGACATATATTCTACTAAAATGCTTTGAGACTCTCTGAAATTTGTGGGTAATACTTTTGTTGCCTTTATTAATGTGCTCAAGGCTTGGATTTTGAAAAGCTCGGTTCCCAATTCAGCACATAAATGTAATATTCATGGAAAATGTCTAAGCAAGTATTTCTCCTAGAATTGTACTTTTCCAAGTTCAAAAAATGGACAAATGCAACTGAATTTGTGTAGGTGTTTGTGACAAAGAATATACCCAAGATAAATATTAATGAATATTGCCAAACACATCATAGCCATATACCAATATGTTCTGCCTTTATCTCTGAATGCATATACCTGCATCTGTTTTATATTTATGAAGAAAAGGATAATATAAATATTCAAAATAACTGGTATTATAAAATGTGAATTAAATCAATATAATTGTTATAGGGCTGTTATTAGAAAATAATGATAATGAACTTATTGTAACTTTTTTTCTTTTTTAGTATCTATGTTTGATACCTGGGTCTCTGGAACAATTGAATTTCGACCAGGGGCATCACTGAAAAAGGTGGAAAGTGGTGATGAAATTATAACAGGATCGGGTCTGATAAAACCACTTAAGTCACAGCTGGGAATAGAGTTCTCTTCAGTTTTCATAGTGAGGGTATCCATTGCATAGAAGCTATTCCATGGTAGCCACACTGTCTTCTCTTGACTCATGAATGGAGCTCGTTCAAAATGAAGAGTTAGAGATCCTCCTCCATTTGCAATCAAATCAAACCTAAAAAAAGTTGGAGTCTACATCATGAATAATTCTAGAACAAAGACCCAAACTAATCAATAAAACTAGAAAGAGGACCACACCCAATACAGTTTATTATACAATTTCTTAGATTACATTCTACTGTATTGATTCAAAACTTTAGTAGGACAGAATTAGCTATACCCAAGTCCCCAAAATCACAACAACAAAGCAGAAAAAAAATCAGTGGATCTCAAATGTAAAGATCACTCCAAAGTCCAATAGAACAAAAACAAAATGTGAAGAAGCCATTCAGATATTCTTATTTAAAAGTTTATCTCAAAGATGGACCGTCTATGACTCACAAAATGTTTCTGATCCCAATTTCAGTATTTCTCACAGAGGGTCTTTTGGCTAGAGTTACTTGACAATGTAGTTCAACAATAATTGAAAGCCCACAATTTCCCCCTCCCTAAGTACTGTATAGCAATTCTACTGAGTTCAAAAACAGTTGGTAATCGCTACAGTCTGCGTATGTATTCTGGAGTGTGATCGTACTGTGCATTCTGTAAAACAATTGTGCTACTGCGATTCAGATTAGTTTCCAAAAGTCCTTTTAAGTCACCCTACAAATAGTAGGTTAGAATGGTAAAAATGTACTCAGAAGTGATTAAGATACTTATTAAAGAAATCAGTTCTGCTTTTTCTAGAACAGGGTGCAAGAATCTTATAAGTTAAAGCTAGGAAAAGGTTCTGCCTGCCTGTCTATCTACTAATTAATGTAGCCTGATATACAGCAGGATAGATTAGTCCTCTAAAATTGAATCCCCACATTCCTTTCACAATTGTGAACAGTAACTGGTTTGTAATGGTTCAAATTATTAGTCAAACATAGATTTCAAATGCTACAAAGCACAGGACTAACAAACCAATATCAGATCTGAAATTAGCTAAAACTGCTGTGATTTAAACCCAGCAGCAGTAGAAACTATCTTTACATACAAGTTTATGGCAAAGGGAAGAAAAATCTTAAAATTTCAAAATAGACACATTATTCTTTGTGCTGAATTAGTTCCAAAACTGGACAAATGTTTCTGTCTAAAAATGTAAAATAGTAGGTATTTGTTTCTAACAAAGCCATCAATATTGTGGTTTTAGGACTCATAGGAATGAAAACATGTGTGAGAAAACTGAGCCCTTACAGCAACTGGGTGGGGCTGGAACACAAAGAGCAAAATGACTAAAGAGCTGTCACAATGCAAGCCTTGCCCCATATCTGACATTTTTGACCTTAAACCTTTTCAGTACTTACTGCACCTAAAGTAAAAGATAACATCAAGGTCAACGTATTATGCTCAACTATGATTTGCTTAATCACTGTTTATTGAACAAACAGTGGAAACACCACCAACTAACTTTACAACACATGCTATAATATTAAGCAAGGGCTTCAAAACTACAAACATGCTAAGAGTTCAGAGGCAGGCAAAGCCAAATCAAAAGAAACCACATTATGGCTTATTCTATCCAGTTCCTAAAACAAACAAACAAACAAACAACAAAGCAGTACCACAAATCATGTCTTGCTCTATAGGGAGAAGTAGAACAAAAATGAATATAGCTCATTAGTTTCCAAAAGTGCAACAAGGTTTTTGTTTCTCTTGGGTACTTTCTTGAACTATATTAAATTAATTTGTTAAGTGATATGGCTCAGGGCCCTCTCTTTAATTCTAGTCTTCCCGATCGCAGGAGATTTAGAGCTGGTATCATCTGTAACACAATATCTTTTTCCTCCAAGCATACATAAAAAAGTTAACACGCTCATTCTCTTGACTCAGGGAAGTTTGCGATTAAGACCTCTGCTGTGAACCAAGATCTGTTATTAATGCAAATGTGGTCATGATATATCATAAAGCACTGTATGATGTGTGGTTTCCAACATAGAACTGCTATAAACAGCCATTAAAACCATCACAAATGCCTCCATGCCATGTGGCAAAACTGAATGACAGCTTTGAGCAAACAATATTAGTAAATTTATAATGAATCACACAAAAGCCCTGAATCTCCATTATTGCTAAGATGTTCGAAAGCTCAGCGTTGAAGCAGTGAGCCCAGCCCCCAACAATGGCCCTGTTATGGATCAGTACTCCAATGAATTTTATAGACTACAATTCACATGTACTGCAGCAAATAGTTGCAATGCATTATTTCATGTAAATATATCATTTTACTGCTACATCCAATTAATTAGATAAAGTATGACACAGTATTTTTGTTGGAGCTAAGTCTATGTGCCTTTCAAATCGAATGATAAACAGAGAAACAGGACATGGCAGGGAACTGTCTAAGTTTATTCAATTACACCCTTTTAATATGTTTTGCCTCAAGAAACTCTGAGCTGATTTTTAGAAAGGAATGGGACAATTGGGAAACTAAGAAATTGCACTGTTTTATGAGTCTCTCTCACCCCCTCCCAAATGAGTGTTAGCCTGCCTTAAATCTCAAAATTAAATGTTTCTGGGTCTCAGCTGGATACTACTGTAGTCCACAAATGTTTTTATAGATATAATACAGCTTCTGTGAGAAGAAGTCCAACTGCTATCACATTATTTTCAGAAGTCAATCCTTTCAAATTTACTTTCAGCTAGTCTTCAAAACACCATGTGAAAAATTACTTTCTGCTTTCTTGATAGCCCTTTGCCCTAGTAGGAATTCTATGCATGATACCACATGGTTTCACTAGATAGCACCATCTGTTAATCTGCACAGTTATTACTATACAAAATAGTTCGTGAATGAAGTGAATCAACTTACGTGCCATCCTGGCGAGTGATGGTGTAGCCATATTTTGGATACTTGACAAATGACACATTGACTCCAACAAGTGGGGTTCCATCTGTAGTCACCACTTGGCCCCTTATCAGAGATACCAGGCTGGAAAAGAAATTTAATTCAATGCCAGTGCTCAAGTAATACTTTGGGGAAGAAAATTATCACAGCTAGGTGAGTTTCTTCTGGCATAAAAAATGTTCATTCTTGACTTAAAATAATTTTGCTTGTTACAAGCTACAGCAGCTAAATGAAACAGGAGTTGATCGCTTCCCAAATGTAGATGGGCTTTAGAGCTATATACACTTTTATCTGAACAGCAATCCCTCTATTTCTCAGATATAAGTATTGGGCTGTAAGGAGAACTGCCTCTTGTTTTTTCTAACGCTAAACATGAAGGGATCTTAGTAGACTAACATTTAGAATATAGAGCATAGAATGATAGATTTGGAATGGACCTTGGAGGTCTTTTAGTCTAACCCCCTGCTCAAGCAAGAGATCCTGAACCATTTCAGACAAATGGTTATCCAGCCTCCAGTGATGGGGCACTTCTTCTGAAAACGGTGTTCAACTGCTACTAAATTTCTCTTTAGTTAGTTTCCTTCATTTCTTGTCTTGCCTTCTGGTGCTTTGGAAAATAGTTTGACCCCCCCTCCTTGTCTTTCTGGAGTCCCTCAAATATTGGAACACTGCTATTATGTCTCCCTTAGTTTATTTATTAATGCTACATTCAGATTCCCATGAAGAATAACTCAGAAGGATTCAATCATTTCTAATCAGTGGCTACATTCTTGACTAAGATGAAGATAGATGCTGTCTGAAGTCCCGCTATGGATTTATCTCTGCTTTACTTATTCTTCTTCACTCTATGAAGCTAGGTTTCATGTATTGCAGCTACTGCAGGCTAAAAGCCTTCTTTTCAAAAGTTATCCTAACTGTACAAAGTGACATGTATTGTTCAGGTTTCTGTTTGGAAAATAAAATAAATCTAAAGAAATTTAGTTTAGAGCACACTGAATTAATGATTTGGTTATCTGGATTAATGGCTTTGCTAATATTATCTACATACTCTGTCAGAAACATTCACTCCACAAACATCAAAAACCTTTCAAAGAATAAGGCAATTCACAGTCCATAAAATTTTGTCATCATATTTACTGAGGGATTTTTTTAAAAAAGAACTAATTGTTTGCCCTTAGGTTTTCAACTTGTTCCACTAGGGCTATAAAAACCCTATCTACTATTCAATCAGACCCTGCTGGCAGATCAGATTCTTCTGATCATTCCAAAAAATGTCTGGAATCTGTGCAAAAAATGCAAGGGGAAGTGTTCCCCCCCAAAAAGCAACAACCCCATCCTTAGTCAAAAGGAGATTTGTGTGTGGAACCCTGAAATATATAAATTTTCTCTGGGCATATTATTTAAGTCTTTAAATTTAATTTTCTTAGGGTAGATGGATGATCAAGATATCAGCCTACTCAGAGTTTCTGGTGAAGAAAACTGTTCTATCTAAAATGAATTATTAGAATTACTGGCTCTATATTATTTTATATTAGAATAATATAGTGGTTACCAATGAACATATACTTGATGTTGAAGAAAAAAAAGAACACAATTTATTCAGAGAAAAGTAGGTAAATAATCTAAAACTGTCTACTGAAATATATAATCAGTTTTTACTGGGGAACAACATGGTTCAAAATAGTAAGCATTTAAAATGTTAAGAGTAGGAACAATATAATATACCATATGCTAGCAAATTTATTAAAACTGGAGATTATTAGCCTCTTATTACCTTCTAATGCAGGCAATACTGCTCCTGTACTTAGTTAAAATTTGAAAAAAATGACATATACTTAAAATAAAAAAATCTATATTTGCATATATTAACTGTAGATGGATTCTAGAGCATGTTTATTAGGAACCGAGCTCCATTGGACACAGCAGTGCTTATGTTTAATATGCATCCCAAGGATTGCATGAATAGGCTGCAATTCTAAACAAATCTACTTTGGAATATGCATAGCTGAATCTGATGGGAGGCGTAAACAAATATGAGATGGATTGCATTTTCATTTTTGATAAATCAAATATTGTTTCATCATAATCCACCAGCTATTATTATATGTCAACAAAAGAGAATATACATAGCTCAGTATTCTCTGTGAATTGTGGAGTCCTACATGTTCTCTGAGCTTGGTTGTTTGCTTGCAGATGTTTTGAACCTGATTAGGTAACATCATCAGTGCTAGTGAGTGAGGGCTTTGCTCCTTGATCCTGTACAATACATTGCACTGACAGTTTTGGTAGGGGTGTTTTGTTTTTTCTTTAGTAGTTCCTTCATTAGGGTATTGCTTTCTGTTTGATTGTTTGCCTGGTGTTAATCCCTGCTTGCTGTTGGTTGCTAGAGAGAATGTGCTCTATCTTTTTGTTTCTTTCTTATATTTTTAAATTGTCTCTTTTGACTGGTATGTAAATGTGGTTTATCTCTACTGTCTATTGATGTCTGATGTGTCTGAATGCCAAGCTTTCAGGAATTCTCTAATTTTTTAAATTTAACATGGTCTAGAATGCTTATCGTTTCCCAGTTGAAACTATGATTGAGTCTGTCTATGTGTTTTGAGATCAAGGAGTTTTCATTGTGTTTTCTGACTGCTAGTTGGCATTCATGGATGTGCTCTGCAATATAGTGGCTGTTGCAGTCCTTACACTGTATGTTGTAAATGACCTTTTCTTCTTGGGCCACCTTTAGTTGGTTTGCTTGCAATGATGATATCATGTGGTTGTAATTAGTCTGTTAGTTGTTTGTAAGATGTTTCTGATGTATGGCAGTGTTATCCAAGCATCTTGTGTTAGTTGTGCTGTAGTGGATTGAGCGGTCAGGCATTTTTTGATAATGTGTGTGTGTATAAGAAGGTAGCGATGAAAGAAGCTATGAATATTATATTATTGGGCAATAACCTTTTGTTGCTGAATATAGGTTGATGCACATTAGCTAAAAACATGGACAGAAGGACTTTTATTTTGAGTGGCAAACTATTCTGGCCATATTATAAAATAGTTTCAATTCTGAATTTTAAAAGAGATATCAGGTGACACAGAAGATTTATGTATGAGCCATGCATCTCTATGCATCCTGTGGGCACCTGATCCAAAGCCACTCTTCGGATCAAATCTATAATAGATAATCACTGTAACCATAGTAATAATATAACCATAATTTTCAAACAGGAAATTATGTTGTTCATATCTTGCCAAATTGTATTTGGGAACTCTTTTGCCTTCGGTAGAGCACAGTGACGTCCCTAAGGCATCTTGGGTAGGTAAGTTGACCTCAAGCTGAATAGTTACAATAAAATGGAATTTACTATTTGTTTTTTCTTAAGTTCACGCCCATAAAGCGGTCCAGCTGGTGAATACAAGTTTGCACATTTATCATTCCAACAAGTCTCATTAGGAAACATAGGGTTAGTTCCTGAATGATTTCGGATTTCCTTGTTAGACCTAGAAATACCTGACTTTGGCAAATAACAGTTTTCTATAAGCCTGAGCTGGTTGCTCCAGAAAAAGAAAAAAAAGGGGGGGGGGAGGAAATTGGAACAAAGAGGATTAGAATGAGAAGATAGCTATGAAAGAAAAAAATGCTATGCCAGTTCCTCTCACTTTGATTGCTGTGAAATATTAAGGCCCATCTTAAGTCCTATCCAAAAGAAAAGAGAACCATTTTTCTGTTAAAAGAAAAAGAAAAGTAAAGAAAAGAAAGAAATGTAGTTCCTTTAAAATATGGGGTTTATTAACTGAACTTGAAGAGTGAGGGTGGATTTCAGAAGACAGAAGAAGGAAAATTAAACAAATGACATAAAAGAAGGGAAAATTGGAAAGGAGCAATTTAGAGAAGGAAGGAAGGAGGGAAGGTCGGTCTAGAGTTGCTGTGGGACACAGAAACTGGATTCTGGCAGCATGTAAATTTGTGTTTGTAAGCATATGCTGAGCAGGATTACTGAAGAAGTCCTCTGTAGCAGTGAAAGGGGGGAAAAATGTTTTGGCAGCTGTTGAGAAGATTCCAGAGGGATAACAAGCCAAATGAAAAAGGAAGAAAGAGGAAAATGGTTAGTCTCCTTACATGTGAACTGCCAAGTAGCCAGTGTAAGAAAAATTAATGAGGTTAGCAGAGAGTCTCGAGAGGGGTCTGAAAGATTGGGATGATGGTAGCTGCAACTGCAGCACGCCAAAGCCTATAGAGTGTCATAAAACCAACAGCTAGTTATACCAGCAGAACCCTAGTTGAAGAGAAAAAGAGCTCAACTGTGGGTAAAACGGTGAGAGAAAGACAAGTGAGGGAGAGAGAAGCAGCAGGGTCAAGAGGGCATGTCCCTTATAAGGCCTTAAGAAGCTGTGTATCAGCAATATGAGGCAGTTTAAGGGAACTGAGATTGGTTATTATATTACAGTATACTATAATACACTATATTAGCAGTCAGTACAATCTGACCTAACATCAGGTACAAAGAAAGAATCAAAGCAGAGTAAACCAGAGGGGATCAGTTGTATCAAGTGGCTCAGAGCAGCCAATCCAAAAGTGTCACCATAGATCCAGATGAAGCAAGAGTTAGCACTACAGAATGTGACACTGGTGGTGATGATATGCAGTATCAGAGAGGTTCCAGAACCCTGATGGTCAAGCCTAGCTGACAACAGAGACCATCCCAGCAATAAGGACACTAAAGGAGTAGTCGATGATGTGTAGGACAGAATAGTAGAGATAGAAGAGACAGAATAGAAGTTAGGGCTTAGGAAGAATAGATAGAATAGAAGTTAGGGTTTAGGAAGAATAATAAGGCAGACCTTAGGGCTAAATAAAATAGAATAAATCTTAGAAGATTGAATATAGACACTGACTATAAATTAAAAAGTGATGGGATGTCTTTNGGAAGTTTTTAAGAAGAGACTAGACAGCCATTTGTCTGAAATGGTATAGGGTTTCCTGCCTGAGCAGGGGGTTGGACTAGATGACCTCCAAGGTCCCTTCCAACTTTATTATTATTATTATTATTATTATTATTATTATTATTATTATTATTATTATTATTATTATTATTATTATTATTATTATTATTATTATTATTATCCAAGCAGAAGACCCTGAGGTTTTCTTTCTAATTATGCTCTCCATATAATAAACTCTGAACATGTACAAAAATCTAAGAGTTTGATCAAGGAGTTAAGGAATAAATAACATCAGCCAGGCTTACTGTATCGATTGTACAGTATTTGGAATTCTGTGTATATGGTTTACAGATTTGGATTTATTGATTGAATAATGGAAGTTTTTATTAAAATCTTCTAAACTGCTACTCCTTGGATTTTGGAAGATCCAAAGTATATTCATTTCTATTTCTTCCTAGCTCAGCTAAAGGGAGAAGAGAAGGAAGACAGGAAGGCAAGAAGGAAGGCAGGAAGGAAGGAAGGAAGGAAGGAAGGAAGGAAGGAAGGAAGGAAGGAAGGAAGGAAGGAAGGAAGGAAGGAAGGAAGGAAGGAAGGACAAAATAGACTGGGGTGTTTCAGAAGGTTCAGCACAATTGATGCCAATCTGTTGTAATTATCTTTTGCTGGGTAACCCTTGAGAGAAGGAGCCTACCAGTAAGTTTTCTACAAGTCACATATGGATATGTGGCAAAGCTCAAGCTGTCAGTAAAACTCTTTCGTAAAAAAATAGAGCTGTCACCTTTTATCAAATTTGGGTTATGTTCTTCTGTCAATCTATCTGATATAGGACTTCCATTTCCAATCAATTGATATTTAGCTTTCATGATATTTAGACTGATTAAATGCAAACAAGGGTTAATTATTTTAAAATCCAGGTAGTATTTATAGCTTATTAACACAGTCCTAATGCAACTAAAGGATAAACAGGGCCAAAATCTGAAACAAAAACCCTCTCAAATTCTGTATCAATGCTATGTTTTCATATTTAGAATAATCGTGTGAGACATGAAATATAGGCTTATTCTTTCTGAAAGCCAGAACATATCGGACTCTCATTAGTGTCATCATATTTTTCTCATTTTAAAGCTGGGATTCCTTTTCTTTCCAAGCTTCCTGCATGCAATAAATCCAATGCTAGTCCTTTCCCACATGGAGTCAGTATGCAAAGCCAGCATCCTGACATAAAGGCAGCATTAAAAAATCATGACAAAAAGCCCAGAATGAGATTTTAGCATGAGACAGAAAAGAATTTCACTAGTGAAAGCTGCATTCCATGTTAAACCACTATTAAAACCCCTGCCAAAACAGCTCCCATGCCTTTACAAACTACATATAAATCAATAATGGACGATAACTTCCCCAAAAGAGGACCCTAATATACTCACGACAGAAAGGGGTGATTCTCGAATTAAGCTAGTATCTTACTGAAATGTCGAAGACTTGGCCTCACTGAAACGACATATTACAGATTGCCTAGTGCACTCGGTGCCGTTTCTTCCGATAAGACTGTTCAGCTGACCTCCGTCGAATCTGGATCCAGACAATCAATGAGGCCATCTGCAAGGAAGAACACATAAGCTATTTTCCCCAGTCACTTGATTGTACCACTGCTTATAGCTCACCATTGCTTCCTTACAAGCTGAACAATAGCATTGCTAATCTCAGCACATTTAACTTTAGACATACCCAAGCATTTTCATCAACACGGTAACTTTAGTATAGCAAATTACCTCTGTTACTGTCTTTCGGGTCACTACAACAAATGCCAGTGTAAGTCGTAAAGATATGATTCTCAATTTTGGAAAGGACTTTTTCAGCTTTGCTAAAGGCCCAAATCAGTTTTTCTGTGAGACTCCAAATTTGGGATGTGCAGATTAAATTAAAATCCTACCATTTTACTACTCATATTAGTAGGGCAGTAGAATATTCCAATCTATATGTTATTTTATAGACCAATAACAACAACAACAACAACAACAACAACTGTAATTTGTGTTCATAATGTCTCCTAGAATATAATGTCATAACAGCAATAGCACTTACACTTATATCCTGCTGCATGGTGCTTTATAGACCTCTCTAAACACTTTACAGAGTCAGCATATTGCCCCCAACAATCTGGGTCCTCTTTTTACTGACCTCAGAAGGATGGAATTTTGAGTCAACCTTGAGCCAGTCAGGACCGAACTGCTGGCAATCGGCAGAGTTAGCCTGCAATACTGCATTCTAACTACTGTGCCACCATGTCATAATGTCCTATGGACATAATGTCTTTGTGTGTGTGTGTGTGTGTGAAAGTCTCCTACAAAGCACAGCATTTTCATATAAATTCCTTTAAAATAAATATTTGTTAATATAGGTTCTCCATTAATCATGTTTTAATAAAAATGATCCTCCTTTGATTCTTTAATAAATATTTTTTCAATGAAAGTTACTTCAGTGCATGGTTTTAAATATCATCTCTCTGTTTATATATAGCTTTTAATCATCTTTTTTTTTTTCAGATTTGTTATGTGTGGCAGCCAGGGAATGATTATCTGGCTTTTACTGATAGATCTCTGTGACTAAAAACTCCAATGAGAAGACGGTTGTTCAAACCTGTTTCCCCTGGAACATATCTGAAAGGTTTTAATATACTTAATCCAGAAAATTTAACAAATCATTATCTATCATATGTCTTTATGATGGAGTGAGCTTTTCCTTAAGAACAGATGATGGATGTTTGGGTCTGATCAGCTACGAATCTGATTAGCTATTTTGAAGATTTATGCCATGTTCAAGACTCACCCATGATCACTTTGAGACTTTTTTTAAAAAAAAGGAAATAGCATTAACAGCATTTGGTTTTCATTTCATGTACCACTAAGTTATTTTACTATTTGAAATTAAGATTTCATTTTCAATTTCAAGGTCAGCGACTTGTGATCCCCTCTAATATGGAAGTCCTTTTTCATCATGGAGGTAAAATATTTTTTCAGATTCTACCCATTTTATATAGTCAATGTGAGACAGTAATTAGACTCATATAATAACTGAAGATGGTTTTCCTATTAAAACTTGAACACTTTTCCCACAACACCTTGTTATTTCCGGTGCTTGTAATTATTCATTGAAAATTGTTTATTGTTTGTTCAGCAGTTTGTACATGCAGGTAGGAGAAAAGAGAAGCCTGTCAATATATTAAGGGATTCAAAGGTAAGATGCAGAAAATTACTCTTTTCTACAAATTTGTGTTTACCTGCTCCAGCTATGAATACTTCTTTGCTTTGGCTGTTATAGGAGTGAGAGTATGTTATGCCTATAATGACCTCATCAAACTGCATGATTATGGGCTGAAGAATCTGTACACTTTGGACAACACCGTGAACTTTAAATTGGCATACCAAACTCCCAGTGGCCTGTCAGTCATGAGAATAACATCTTCATGCCAGCAAGCCCCCTTGGATATAGTCTGACATTGCAATCTTCAGTAAATTACCCTGTCACTGCCAATCTTAGAGTTATCTCGCAAACAATCAAGAAGGCAATCAAACTGTTCTGAAGGGCCAGTTGAGGACTTCAGATGGCTAGACATTTCTCCATTCAATACTGGTGAGAAACCTATATATCACTACCTGGAGACTGAATGGAAACACACACACACACACACACACACACACACATACACACACATACACACTTTTTAGATTTTGTAGGTAAGTCTGTAGCAAGAATCTTCATAAAACTGCATTCCCTTTACTTTTATGCCCTGTTACAGTGCTTGCTAATATTAATTAATTTACAAAGCTTACATTTTTTTCCAGCATGCGAAGAGTTTTTGAGTTAAGCACAGAATCAGATATCTTCTTCAATTGGAAAAAAGACACAGTGTTAAAGTGTAGATAAAAAGAAAATCTGAAGACAGAGAAGAGTTATTCTGCATTTTTTTTGAAAAACAATATTTTTACAAGACAGATGTTTTAATTCTGTCAGTAATTTTAAATTTAAGATATCCAAGTACCTGAAACCCTAAACTTATTTACTATAATGCCTTTCCTAATAGGATGTCCTCTAGATTATTCCCTGGAATCCCAGTCATGCTTGTTAGGAAGTCCCCATAAATCCCAAAGCATCCTCCTAGAAAGTTATGCTGTGGAATAAGCCTTATTAAATTTGGCGGAACTTCTTATATAAACATATATGGATCAGGTGACTCCTTAAATAACAGTTGAAATGTGGAACAAAATTATCTATGCTCACAAACCCATCAATTACACACACATCATCACATACATTTGTATCTGACACTAGTTTAGATACACTGATATTAGGGTTGAATTGTTCATGAACAATGAAATTTAAGTAATTCTTTTTGCTGAAGTGATAGCATACATTTCAAGGAATGATCTTCAGTGCATAGTAAGGAATGATGAGTTTAAGGGAGAATAGGCACATTTAATTTATTGACCTTATGCTGAATAAAAATGTTAGTTGACTCTTAAGTCTGATGGTGGTTATCAAACTCTTACATCATTTTTGAATAAAATTCAGTTATAGTGCATCTTAATAAATATTAGTGAAGTTTAGAACCTGTGAAGTAAAATCAGCATATATTTATATTTAAAATAATAAGGGCAATCCATATAATGAGTCAAGATGTCTTTTTAAGTAATTCATTTATGTTTTCTGTGTACAAACATACATAAATACATGCAGAGTAACATACAGTTTAAGGAAAACCTCGTCAAGGCTCAGGTATGAGACAAGATAAAAAAACAAATTATTCAGATCAAGCCAAATATTTCAAAATCATCATGTATCAAGGATTTACAAACTAAATATAAAAAAATAGTTTCTGAGAATGAGAAATGCCAAGAATCTGGATCTTGGAAGAAAGAAACACTCCTTATTGTTGCCAAGAGAGTGATATGGTTGCCCTAGGTTATAAAGTGCTTTATAATGCTTATTTTGGCAGCTTTCTTGGACAAGTTAATCTGGAGAAGTTAATGTTTATTACCATTTTATGATGGCAGAAAGCAAAGAGTAACACACCAAAGTTTCATTTAGTGTGTTATTTAATTTCAGTCAAGATTAACTATATGCACACTTCATTTCAGGGAATCAACTGTAGTACCATCATTAAAATAAATAGTCAGTGGTTTAATCCAAACAAGACATTTATATTTGTTTCCTTCTAAATTTAAATGTATTTCTCAGTGATGTCCATGACAAAAGATGTCCATACATTGATACTTGTAACATACTGCTCACAATTACATACAAGGCAACATTTATGTTGTAGCATAGTTTCTAATTGTCCCCTTTGCCTCATCCCTTGAAAATGCTTGTGGGATTCTGGATATATATGCATGTCTTCAAAAATTTAACCAACTCATAATAAGTTTAGTATTATATTAGAACATGGACTCTGATTTATTATTCCTCTAAAAAGGTAGGTACAAGTACAAACTTTAGGTTCTATCTGTGGAACTTCAACAACAATTTGACAAGATAGGGTTTAGGCTAAGCTTGGATTCTAGGAAAGGCCCTGGTTATGGTTCTTTTAGCTTCTTGAGGAAAGAACTAAAAAGAAATAATTGGCAGCATGTCCTGACATATTTACTCAGATATATTAGATAGATAGATAGATAGATAGATAGATAGATAGATAGATAGATAGATAGATAGATAGATAGACAGACAGACAGACAGACAGACAGACTGACCATTAGCAGGGGTTAGATTGAGTCAAGAGTATAACTGCCTGATCAAAGTCCTGCCTTTGCTTTATAAGCAATGGGCAAAGAAAGGGGTGGGCGTTTGATCACAGAGTTGTGTTTGCTATCTTGATTTTTTTATCTTCTTTTGAAGACATATTTGGAAATTCAGTTGGCATCAACCAGAAAGACTTTCTCTAGTATGATATTCTTCTCAGAAATCAAAGATTTGCTGCCTCTGTTGAAATTTAGGCATATAATGAACTTGTTTTAATTGTCTTTGCATTATTAATATTTTCTTCTATGGCCTAGTTACAATTAGCCATTTATAATATACAGCATTGTGATTATTTTCTTGGGTACAATTCCTGCATATACATGTCTGACAGTACCAAAATGTTGAAATAAATATTGTTTATTTATAGGTTTTTAAATTGTCCCCCTTATAAATGGCTATTCTATAGTGGTTCTAAAATAGACTTTCTGAAATAATACTGTTATGTAGCAAGATATCCAGAAATTTATAGAATTCCTTCTTTAGTTCGGATAGCTCAAACTAACAATGCCAAGCCCAAATTAATTGCAAATTAATAAAGATTCAGTTACAGACAACTAAGGGATGAGTTGCTGGTGATGGAGGTGGCATGTTACAGTACAGCCAAATCAACAATGATTCTTCCCAACCTTCTCATTTCAGGAAATAGACAGCAAAGATATGAACATCACTAGTATTGATGGTTGACATAAACTTTCAATCCAAAGGCAGCAGCATCTGTCACTTGGAGCTGCCTGTCAAACAAATGCTCTGTTGAGCAGGCAATCAAAGCCACTGCTTAAGCATGAGACAGGGAAGATCAGTTG